ATTATCCACCAAACACTGACAAAGGACGGGGATCGTGTCAAGATCAGTCAATTACTTATCGAGCCACAAACGGCTTGGTGCCTCACTGAATTGTTTATATCAGCAGTAATTACCACTGATGATGGAATTTCAGAGCTGATTTTTTACCTGCTGACTAAAATAATGTCTGACACTGAAGGTTGATCATTTGAAAACAAAGGCCAGTAACTTGTTCTTGTCATAGTACTTCTTTGTGGTACAAGAACTCATAAACTTAAAAGTGGCAATGTTTACTCTCTCATTTTCTTAACACTTTTCCCTCAGTAGTAGTAGTCATAGGGAGTTGGTGCCTGTCTCCAACAGCCGTCAGCCAAGAGGTAAGGGACACTTTAGACAGGTCTTCATCACAGGAGCACACAGGGCAAACAACCAGTCATGCATTTACTCACACCTAGGGGCATCAGTAGCTTAGGAGGTAGAGCAGGTTGTCCAGTAATCAGAAGGTTGCAGGTTTGATCCTGGCAGAGAATTCTGCTGTGGCACCTGTGGTCAGAAACCTCGCCTAAGTCAGTAAGCTCCAGGGCAGCTGTGGCTACATTGTAGCTCATCACCATCAGTGTGTGAATGTATGTGTGAATAGATGAATGATACACTGTAGTGTAAAGCACTTTGGAGTCCTCAGACTCTGAAAGGCGCTATGCAAGTGCAAGTCATTTAGCCGAGGGACTCTCGGAAAGCAGAGTACCTGGAAACATCCCATGTGTAGCATCATGAATATCCTGTTTTTGACCTAAAGGTCATGATCTGCAGCGTCTGCTCGAGCAGAGACAAAGTTTCTGACAGGCTAATCTACATGAGAAAGTGGCCAAGGTCTTTCATGCACTCTGCTCATCTGAACCGCTTCATCGCTGTTACAGCGAAGACGAAGAACTATTTTGATAAATACATAATCAACAACTTTGTTATTACCAGTAATAATGTGAGCCCAATGTTCAATCAGTCTGTGAAATTACAATGTTTATTACTTGATATTATAATCCTGTGATCAGTAGTATTTTACAAGTTATTATAATCTTGGACATTTGCACTAGACACTAATGACACGTAATGCTAAAGGCCACACGACACATTTCTTGTCACCACACCATACCATACCATACCATATTTATTTATAAAGCACCATTTCAAAATAGCATGGCATCTAACCAATGTGCTGTACATAAAAAGCCAAATGCTTGACCAAGAAACGCAATAAGAACAGGCAAAATACATAAGAACAAAGCATAAATAGTCGGAGATAAAAATTCCTACTAAAAACAATAACATAGGAGAACAGTTAACAGCACTATAAAATAAAATAATGCAATGAATGATAAAAACATTTGAAATGGCACAAATAAAACAAAATAAAATACCAGATGGTGTGAGGTGCCAAAGGTGAGCCACTAAATCATAAAAATGGAATTAAAAACTCAAATCCGGTGCTAGATTGTCCTGAAAAGTGTCACGAGGGAAGGCAATGCTAAAGAAGTATGTTTTCAGGGCCGACTTGAAACTGCTAACAGAGGGAGCCAGATGCACGCGGAGGGGCAGAGAGTTCCAGAGTTTTGGGGCTGCATAAGAGAAGGCACGCTCCCCCCGTGATTTGTACCGAACCTTCAGAACAACAAGCAGCAGATGATCTGCTGACCGAAGGGCACAGGTGGGAACATATGGGGTCAGCAGGTCCGTCAGATAGGATGGGGATGGGCAGTACAAAGCCTTGTAAACATATAACAAGACCTTGAAGTTAATCCTAAATATGACTGGGAGCCAGTGTAAATCTGCGAGGATGGGTGTGATGTGCATGCGTCTGTCGCTGTTGGTTAAAAATCTGGCCGCGGCATTTTGAACCTTCTGCAGTTTGCTTAAGACTGAAGCATTAATCCCAATCAGGACAGAATTTGCGTAATCCAGACCTGAAGTAATAAAAGCATGAATGACTGACTCAAGATCTGGGCGTTTGAGGATTGACTTAAGACGAGTGATGCGGCGGAGTTGGAAAAAGCAGGACTTGACAGTAGCGTTGACTTGTGAAGACATTGAAAGGTCAGAGTCCAGTTTCACACCTAGGCTAGTGGCACATGATTTGAGATTGAGTGGAAGAGTTGAGACATCTAAAGCACCTTTCATGTTAGTGGGGCTAAAATGTATGGCATCTGATTTGCTGTCATTTAACCGTAGGCAGTTTTGAGAAAGCCAGGATCTGACCTGGGAGAGGCATTCTGACATCATAGAAAATGAGTGATGTTGGTTGATTTGAAGGTAGATCTGGCAATCATCTGCATAAAAGTGGTAGTTAACCCCGAGACTTGCTAAAATCTTACCAAGTGGTAGTATGTAAATTGAAAAGAGGAGAGGACCCAGGATGGAGTCCTGTGGTACTCCCCATGGAAGTGGGACATTGGGAGAAGAGCAGTCTCCAACAAGAACACTAAAACACCGACGTCTGTGAAGTAGGATGGTGTGGTCTACAGTGTCGAATGCTGCAGTCAGGTCGAGTAAGAGTAACAGCACATGGGAGCCAGAGTCAGTCAGAATCAAGATGTCATTGAGTACCCTAATGTGTGCAGACTCTGTGCTGTAATTACATCTAAAACCTGATTGGAATGGGTCAAGAAGCCCATTGTCATCTAGGTGAGAAGTAAGCTGTGTGAGAGCCAGTTTCTCAACTACTTTTGAGATGAGTGGAAGTTTTGAGATTGGGCGATAATTGGCACAGTCAGACTGGTCAAGGCCTGGTTTCTTCAATAGCGGCTGAACAACTGCAATTTTAAAAGCAGCTGGAAACACACCAGAGGAGAAGCTGGAATTGACAATATCCAAAACAGCAGGGGCCACCGCTGGAAGGATATCGCGCAGCAGTATTGGAGGAAGGCTGTCCTCTAGAGAGCCTGAGGGCTTCATAGCCAAGATTAGATCAACCAGGGAAGAGAGTGTCACATGAGCAAAGCAAGAGAATGAAGGTGGACAGTGATTTTCCACACAGGTAACCCAGCCTGAGTAAGAGAAACCGGTTCTAATTTCCTGGATTTTATGCAGGAAAAAGTTTTGAAACTCATTGCAAAGAGCCCCTGTAGAGGGAGAAGGGTTGGGAGATTCTCTAAGGGATAGTACAGAGGTGAGGACACTGTACAGTTTCTTCTGGTCGTTTTTATGCCTAGTGATTAAATTAGCAAAATATCTGTTTCTAGCTGTGCGAACAGCTTTCTGATGGCGGGTCAAAGGATCCTTGAATAATTGGTAGGAGATTTGCAGCTTGTCCTACCGCCACTGGCGTTCGCAGACCCTACATTGGCGTCTTAGGGCACGAGTCTCCTCATTGAGCCAAGGGTCTGCCACAGTTTTTTTATGCCTGGATCTTAGAGGAGCGAGGTCAGCAGCTCCTCAACTCCTACACAGGTGGAATCAGGCTGGGAAGTGGATAGAGTCGCAGCTAGACTAGATGTTAATAGATTGGTGGTGAAAGGGGAAATTATTCTTGTAAGGTGTTGATTATGTTGCCTAGTGGATGGAGGTGTCAAGCCACAGATATTAAAAATAATAGGAGAATGATCAGAGATACATGCAGAGTCAACAATCAGATCAGAGATACAGATCCCAAATGACAAAACCAAGTCTAAAATGTGCGATCCTGAATGGGTGGGTGACTGGGCCTGTTGCTGGAGACCAAAACAATCTAAAATGTCTAAAAAGCCACCAACAAGAGGTTTGTCAGGGCAGCAAACATTTATATTAAAATCACCAAGAATAATCCCACGGTCATATTTTGGAAGAAAGTCTGTTAAAAGATCAGAAAATTCCAATAAAAAGTTTGAATTGTACTTAGGTGGACGATAGCAGAGAATAACAGCAGTGGAGGACTAAAGTCCACCTCAAAAGCCATAAAGCTGTTTGGAGTCACTGGTATAGCCAGGGCGCACGATCAATCAGGACACTGTGACAGGACGCTTACACCATCACATCTTCCCCCCTCTTTCCACAAGCACATCCTCGTGCTCCCGCGCAGGGTGTCACAAATTTCCCATCCATGGACCTACTTGACAGTACTACATGGATCCTGGTGGTGACGCCAAATGTGGCAAGGTGGAAAGACGAGGGCCCGGGCCAGACTCGATCCCCAGACTCCCGGGTGAGAGTCACGCGCGCTTACCAGTCAGCCAAAGGGACATCCCCTTGGCCAAGTAGCCAGGGCGCATGATCAGTCAGGACACTGTGACAGGATGCTCACACGGTCACATAAAGTTTAGAGGGCCACATACACTCCCACTCAGAACTAACTGCTTCTCTGGATCCGCTGGTTCTGAATAACATTCCACACACACACTATCATCATTCATCACGTCTCACTCCACCTTGGTCCATCAGTACAAAGAGTGTTTAAGTTAGTGTTGTTTAAATTGTGTAGAAATAAATGTCTTAACTATTTTAAACCTGACTCTCTCTCTCTCTTTCCTTGGAGTTAATACGAAGTGTCACTTAATCCCTGCGATTAAAAGTTCCGATCTTCAGGTTAAAATAGTCAAAGATCCATCAGATTGATATTTCTATGGAATCTCACATTTTATGGTTCATAAGTAAGATGTAAACGACCCATTCTTTACACATGCATGGGGAGAACATGCAAACTGTGTACAGAAAACCCACAGCTGGGATTCAAACCTGCAATATTTTCACTGCAAGACAACAATGTCTACAGCTTTCCCAATGTAGCGTCCATTTAGGGTGGATGGATGAACGGATACACAGAGGAAATGGGGCGTTTTACCTTATTCATAAAACAAATGCATTTACCAAGAACTTTCAGTAAATTCATTGCATTTCTGCCATTTACTTTTGTATATGCAAAAATCAACTGATGAATACCATGTTTTTTTCTGTTTAGCCATGTTTGTGTCTTATTTTCAATAAGCATGAGGTGAAATCCTAAATTTCGTTTATTCGACAGTATGGCGTCTTTTATTTGTACTTGCTGCTTGCCGTACAACTGTAAATACGGAAGTGACGTTTTATTGTTCTGAGTGCTAAAGCAGGCTAGCTCCCATAAGAGATGCATGTATAATGCCAGATATGTTTTTGTGTTTGATTTTGAATCAGCATGAACTCTTTAAACATTTACGAGAAAAAGCTATGCCTGTTAAACATTCCCTTGCTGTGTTAAACGTGATTTCTAGCTCGTGTTAGCTAACTCTCATTAGCTGTGCATTTGGAAGCCATGGCAGAAAGAAAAGAGAAAACTTTTAAATTTGTCGTCGTGGGAGGAGGCATTGCTGGAGTCACGTGTGTGGAGCAGGTGAAATTAAAAACGTCACATCAATGTGTACACACCAAACAAAGGCTAATTAATGTTTTCCACGTAGTTATCATCAAACTTCCCGTCAACAGACGTGGCTCTGATTACAGCAGGTCGCCACATTAAGGCGGTGACCAACTATAAACAGGTACGGGTACCAAAGGTTCAGTTGTCTTCTGCTTGTTTTGTTTATTCTGCTGTCTGATTGCTCTTCTAAAGGTGTCCAAAACGTTGGAGGAATTTGATGTTTTGGAGCGACCGTCCAGTGTTCTGGAGGAGAAATTCCCCAATCTGACTGTGATCCACTCTGCTGTCAAATCTCTTCACACGGAATCTCATGTAAGAATCTGTGTGACAGTAATGTCCCTGATGTTTTCATTCATCTTGTAACGTCTTTGCGTTATCTAGTCGTGATACTTACAGTGCAAAGTAACAGAAAGGCGTCCTGATCATCTTTATTCGTTTAATACTTCCATCTAGTGGCCACCTGGCTGTATCTCACAATTCAAGTTTACTGACAGCCTAATAATATAGCTGGTTTAAATGAGCTTTTTAATGCCATTCCACAACCGGGGTGATGAGCACTACTAATAAAAAAATATTTCTCCTTTTGTCATAAAATGTGTTTATGGAACTACGAAAAGTCTTCTACCAGGATATTTCAGGCTGTGAGAAGCAGTGTGGAGGTATAAATGGACGAGGGTTTCACAGCCCATTCACTGAGGATTGGATTAACTGAGGTGATCAGTGTCATTCAAACAGACGAGAAATGTAATTACAGTAATGAATGGATTAATTCATTTATTAATCTAAACAAGATGAGATAAGTAAAAGTGTGATGATCTTCTCCAAGTCAGATTTTCTGCCACTAGAGTTTGAAGCTTGTGGATTTCTCTCAGCAGTATCTATTTGTTTCTTGAACGGAATGTTCTGAGAACGTGACAAAGTCATATTTTACACCAGGAATTTGGAGGCTAAGCCAAGTGAAGAGTCCCAACGCACCAAGGTCTTGCATGATTTTAGGTATTCAGCTGTCTGAGTTCAGTTGCAGATTTTTGCAAAACAGTTTGTGTTTGCTGCTGATTAAAGAGTTAAACACAGAGGAAACATTAAAATATTCTGATTGTTGTTTCTCATTAACTCTCTTTCATTCGCCAGAGTGTGGAAACGGCAGATGGTCGAGTTTTTGGGTATGAGAAGCTGTGCATATGCAGCGGCGCCAGGCCAAAGCTCCTAACTCAGGACAACCCTTATGTGCTGGGGATCAGGGATACAGACAGTGCCCAGGTACAACCCAGCAACTGCATGTTGGCCTGATTTAGACCATGTTTTGGACTTAATATTGGAATACACACAAGGAATTACATGTTCAGTTCTTCGTAACCCTGAGCAACTCTTTGGATCAAATGTGACCAGTTTTTCACACAAAACAATTTAACACAAAAATGCCTTTAATGTAATTATTTAACACAGAATTTAATCAGTTTTTTTCTAAGATACGAAAAACAAAAAAAACGTTCGCCTCTTTTGAGTGTGCTACAGTTATTTTCCCGCTGAGGCGGTTACAAATCCAACGTGAGTGACACATGTCTGTGATCCAGGAGGGTGGATCAAACCAGAGATGATTTAAGAGAACGTGTATTTGCTCAGATTGCAGCAGAGACAGCCACCTACTTGTCTTTAAAGGGTCACAAGAAGTTCTCAAAACTGCATAGGAGTGATCAGATACTGCATTAGAGCTGCACAATATGCCAAACCTTTTACTAATGCATTTTTTTGCAAGTGCAATATTAGTTTTTCAAATAACTTCTTAAACAAACGTTTATTTTCCCAGTGAGAGGACTTCATGCCACTCTGGTGGCAGTTTGAGATTCTGTAAAGTTTAAACATTAAATAAGAAGTAAGAGATAAATTCAGTCAATATTTTTACGTTGTGATTTATTTGTACTGTCATTTTAATCACGAGAATATAACCTAAGGTAGGGCTGGGCGATATGGCTAAAATAGAATATCACGATTTTTCCAATATTTTATCCCGATTTCGATTTTATCACGATTTTTTATCCATGAATAGCATAACTTCAATTGCGTATTAAAGAAGAGAAACATTGAATAAACAAACATTTATTCATATTAGGGATAATCAACACAGTGCTAACACACTTATATTTTAAACTCACACCAGAGATGATAAAAGCCCTGAGAGAAACAATTACAGAAATCAGTTTTTCTCGTTTTTCAAGTAACTTAACATAAATTAAAATTGTAAACCTATTTAAAGTGCAAACATGTCGATTGCAAACGTATTGTGCAAACATTAACTTGTTCAAAATACTATGTAGCTCCCAGTTGCTCATGTAGTGGATAGTTAAGCTCAAATACGGCTCTGATGTGCGGCTGGACCAGAGATCGCTTGTGGTAGCAAAAAACTGCACATTCTGAATATTTTCTGCAACTCTCACGTTGCATTCAGCGTACATGCGTGGAATGGCGGTGTTCGAAAAATACTTGCGGCTGGAAAAGTCGTCGCGTGGATCCAATGTTTTTATCATGTTATTAAATCCCACTCCTACTGTTCGCACGGGACACAAATCTTTAACCAAGTGGTACGTCACTGCATCTGTCACGCTGTTCCATCGTCTGCTGTCTTTGTCGTAGGGAGTGAGTTTTGTGTGTTTCTGTTAGCGTTTGCTGCCTGGAAGAAGCACTAGCCGCTGCCGCTGCAGCCGCAGGCTTTTTATCTTTAGCTGCCAGCTGGCTCTCATTGTATTGTTTGGGATGGCTTATTTTCAAGTGATTAAACAAGTTTGTGGTGTTGCCATCACTTGCCTTGATGCTCTCCTTGTAAACGTTGCAAATGACGTTTCGCTGCTCTTTGTCATCTGGTGAAAAACCAAACCAGTTCCATATAACGGACGAGGCGTTCCTCTTCGGAACGAAAATCTCGTTGTCGCTCTCAGCCGCGGCCGAAGCCATGTTTGTTCACACACAGGTGAAAACAAGCGGGGCACTAATATATTACTATGACGCACTCTGATTGGTTAAGGGTCAAGCAAAGGCGTGTCATTCACCTGAGGTAAGTTCCCTTTTCATTCAGAGGCAGAAATTCAACAGCAGAGCTGTGAATCGTGATAAAAAGGTCTCTCAAAAATGACAGTCCGTCAGATGTGTAGATCGTAAAACGGTCTAAAATCGTCATATCGCCCAGCCCTAACCTAAGGTCACAAGCACTGAATAGCTGTGTACGTCATCTTTTTGTTCATATTCATCTGACTATACGACCAGTTCAACTATCGAAATGCAGTTAAACTGAATCTGGAGCGGCTTCAACCACCTATAGCGCTGACCGTTTCAGATGCATGTCTCTGCATGATTGAAATTCCAAGCTTAACATCCTGGTTTGAGATTATGTAACACGTTGCTAACTAGATTAATTCTGTCTGTATTTCAGGAGTTTCAAAAGAGATTATCCAAAGCAAAGAGGATTGTTGTCGTTGGAAACGGAGGGATCGCCTTGGAATTGGTGTAAGTCTGCTTTTGGAAAAAAGGATAAAATTCCAGGAAACTTTAGTTTTTATTTTAAAGTTAAAATAATTTCAACTTTTTTTTTAATTTAGGTATGAGGTGGAGGGCTGCGAGGTGATCTGGGTTGTGAAGGACAAGGCCATCGGGAACACCTTCTTTGACGCAGGTGCAGCGCAGTTCCTTATCCCGTCACTAGGGGCTGACAAACTGGAGGTTTCTGCTCCATGTCGGAGAACTCGCTACACTACAGAGGAACCAGCGTCTGGAGGGGCTCAGACGTTCACTGCAGGTCTGTATCTTACACCAAAGAGAAAACTTTATTTTCTTTTTCTCACAGTGTATACAACCTGGCTAAAAGCTTTTACGACACACAATTGCTGTGGCATTGTTGCGATGAGCTTCTGCAATATCACAAGATTTATTTCCATCCAGTGTTGCATTTATTCTTCACATCTTGCATAAATGATGGTAGAGTCTGACCGCTGCACTAAGCCTTCTCCATCACATCCCAAAGATCCTCAATGGGGTTAAGGTCAGGGCTGTGTGGTGGCCAGTACATACTCCCTGAACCACTCTTTCACTATTTGAGCCCGATGAATCCTAACATTGTCATCTTGGAATATGCCCGTGCCATCAAAGAAGGTGGAATAACTTGGTCATTCAGGATATTCAGGTAGTCAGCTGACCTCATTCTTGGAGCACATCCCATTGCTGAACCTGAACCTAGACGTGACCAACTGCAGCAACCCCAGATCATAACACTGCCCCCACCGGTTTACACAGTAGGCACTAGGCATGAAGGGTGCATCACTTCATCTTCCTCTCTTCTTACCCTGATGCACCCATCACTCTGGAACAGGGTCCATCTGGACTCATCAGACCACATGACCTTCGTCCATTGATCCAGAGTCCAATCTTTATGCTCTCTAGCAAACTGAAATCTTTTTTCTTGGTTTTCCTCACTGATTAGTGGTTTTTTTACGGCTACACTGCTGTTCAGTCCCGATCCTTTGAGTTCCTTTCAGACTCTGCATGTGGAAATGCTCTTAATAATGCGATGGACAGTTCTTCACCCAGCTTTAGTCATTTCTGCAATCGCCTTTGCTGTTTTCTCAGCTTGATGCATGACAGTGATCTGACCCTTCTCAAACAGGCTAACATCTGGGAGGCCAACATGTGGAAAGACACATCTGGTGATTTGTCTTTCCACATGTTTGTTTATTGCACCAGCTGGGGTTAAATAACTTGTTACCTACTGACAGATGCATACATGCAGTAATTATCCAATAGGGGGCTCGTACCTGTTTGCTTAGTTAAATCCAGGTGGTGACTGTGTGTGTGTGTGTGTGTGTGTGTGTGTGTGTGTGTGTGTGTGTGTGTGTGTGTGTGTGTGTGTGTGTGTGTGTGTGTGTGTGTGTGTGTGTGTGTGTGTGTGTGTGTGTACACTCACATAAGGATTATTAGGAGCACCATACTAATAGGGTGTTTGACCCCATTTCACCTCCATTGGAGTTTTATGACATGGTGCATTATCCTGCTAGAAGTAGCCATAAGACGATGGGTACATGGTGGTCATGAAGGGATGGACATGGCCAGAAACAATGCTCAGGTAGCCTGTGGCATTTAAATGATGCCCAATTGGCACTAAGGGGCCTAAAGTGTGAAGTGAAAACATCCCCCACACCATGGCCCCAGCCTGCACAGTAGTAACAAAGCATGATGGATCCATGTTCTCCGTCTGTTTACGTCAGATTCTGACTCTACCATTTGAATGTCTCAACAGAAATCGAGACTTATCAGACCAGGCAACATTTTTCCAGTCTTCAACTGTCCAATTTTGCTGAGCTGGTGGTAATTGTAGCCTCTTTTTCCTATTTGTAGTGGAGATGAGTGGTACCCGGTGGGGCCTTCTGCTGTTGTAGCCCATCTGCCTCAAGGCTGTGCGTGTTGTGGCTTCACAAATGCTTTGCTGCATTCCTCGGTTGTAACGAGTGGTTATTTCAGTCAAAGTTCTTCTATCAGTTTGAATCAGTCGGCCCATTCTCCTCCGACCTTTCCCTTTTCACACCATTCTTTGTAAACCCTAGAAATGGTTGTGTGTGAAAATCCCAGTAACTGAGCAGATTGTGAAATACTCAGACTGGCCCGTCTGGTACCAACAACCATGCCACGCTCAAAATAGCTTAAATCACCTTTCTTTCCCATTCTGACATTCAGTTTGGAGTTCAGGAGATTGTCTTGGCCCTGGACCACACCCCTAAATGCATTGAAGCAGCTGCCATGTGATTGGTTGATTAGATAATTGCATTAAGGAGAAGTTGAACAGGTGTTCTAATCCTTTAGGTGTGTGTGTGTGTGTGTGTGTGTATTTATTTATATATATATATATATATATATATATATATATATATATATATATATATATATATATATATATATATATATATATATATATATATATATATATATATATATATATATATATGTATGTATGTATGTATGTATATATATATATATATATATATATATATATATATATGTACATAGTATATGTACATAGTATTTGTAATGATGTTTTTAACTGTACTTAGGGCTGTAGCGAAGCCTCGACGACGTCGACGGCTCGATTCTAAAAATTTGTCGACGTCAGATCCGGAAGTCGACGCACCGCGCCCACTTATTGCATCCCCAGGAGTTTGTAAATAGAGGAGGAATCTGCCTGTTTTTCCTCTAGTTCGCCCTCTTCTCCGCCTTCACTAACATCTCCGCCAAATACCGAAGACCCGGAACAACGTCCGTCCACTACTAGATTCTTCTCCTGTTTTGCCCGCCTTCGTCTCCCGGCAACGGACAACAACTTCCGGGGTCAGATGCGCTGGTTCGTCTCTATCGCAGATGTAGGACATCACCGGGAGCGTTTCTCCTTTCATTAAGGAGCTTCTTTCAGACATTAAGAGAGCTGTTTTTGTGGTAGCAGTCTCTCCTCCGTGCTGGCCTGTTTGCTGCTGGGTGTTTTTGGTTTATTTAAACTTGGTAACTTGAACTTAACGTTGGTAAAGCTACTGTTAGCATCTTCGCTAACAGCTTCTTGCGTTTGGATAAGCTGTTACGTTTTGGTTTAGAGTTCATCTTTTTTGTGGTGCAGATCTCCCTTTTATTACATTTAGAGTGTTGTGGGTTTTCGGTTTAGTGTAAAATATCACCTTGAGTTTGGTTTAACCACCCAGTTTAGAGTTGGACCTTTGGAGATCCTTATTTTGGTCCAGAACCCTGTAATCTTTGCCCAGTGGGACATCCCTAGTTATTTGTACTTTGTTTTAATTCCCCACGGGCAGAATTAGTTTTATTATTCCCAACCTGTGGATGGAAAGATGTATGATTTTTTGTAGTTGTAAATAAACCTGATAATCATTTTAACTTTTAAATCCCACGTTATTGTCCCTTCCTTTTTACACACGAGCCAAACTCCCCAGGAAGAGTCGTAACACCACTCGCCTCACGCACATAAGTGACCAAAACAAAGCAGTATGGAGACACTCTGTCCCCAACCACCTCTCAGGCAGCAGCCTGCACTCCCAAGTTCTACACGTCACCAGAACATAACCAACCGCAACACAATAAAAGCAGTGTTATACAAAATGGAAGGCCTGTAGAGTTTATTCTCTTACAGTAAGAATTAATCAATTTTTTTGAGGAATTTGAGATTTTCTGGTTTTTGTTAATTGTGCAATAGAAAAATAATCATTAGATTAATTTTCTAAATAGTCATTAGAATAGTCGACTATTCGATAAAATTATCGTCAGAATAATCGTTTTAAAAATAATCGTTTACCCCCAGCCCTAACTGTACTGTACTCTTGGTTTCTCTCGGCATAGTCCCATGGCGTGATGCACAATGTGTTTCTTTTTATATCGCTGCTTACTCATTCTAGTCACACCCATTTGGTATAAAGGTAAACAAATGTGTCCACCTTCTCTTGCTGTTGAAAAGTGGAGTCATAAGATCCCATTTGTGGGCGTGTCTGTGTTGCATTTTTGGAATCAGGATCTGTTCTCTTGGAATGAGTGAATGAAAGCCCCACCTACTCACCTGCAAACAAGCTGGGAGGTTTTTACGAGCCCAGTAAGTAATTACAGATAAATGTATTGGTAAAATAAATGTTTAAAGGTGCAGCAGCTTGATAGAATGTAAATGAATCAAGAGTCAACTCTTGGCAGAAATGATGTGAGGTGTATTTTAATGTTTTAGTCTGATGAGGTGACCGCTCTAAAACAATCTGTCTCAGAAACTTCATAGCAATTCATTCTATATCATTTAAACTACCATAAACTTTACATTTCATTATTCATTCTATATCATTTAAACTACCATAAACTTTACATTTCATTATTCATTCTATATCATTTAAACTACCATAAACTTTACATTTCATTATTCATTCTATATCATTTAAACTACCATAAACTTTACATTTCATTGTTTTCCTGGTTGAATTAAAAAAGATCTTGGATAGCAGCGCTGCAGCAGTCGCTCTACGACTTATCTGTAACTAGTTTCTGCTGCAGATAACCACAGAATATTACGAAAATGACCATGCAAATAATAAGTGACATGACAAAAACAAACATATATTTTAGTAGTGATGTAGAACAATATATCACATTTTCTGTACGTTCTTTCCTGTTTTTATGTTGAAAAGTTCCTAAAGGGAGGTTAAAGCTAAATCGCTTTCTCTCTTTTTTAATGTATTTTATTGCTGTTCTGTCAAGAAAAGGTTAAAGGTTGAATATGGAACAATTTATTAAAAAGGGAAAGCTGGAGCGCAAGATTGATAGGTGGATTGGCGTTGGGTCTGCAGTGATGCGGGCAATTCACCGGTCTGTCGTGGTGAAGAGAGAGCTGAGCCAGAAGGCAAAGCTCTCTATTTACCGGTCGATCTATGTTCCTTCTCAGAAGAGGAGCGACCACAAAAGATGTAAAACCAGAGTGAGTTTAGATTAAGCGTACAACAGATGGACCCAAATAAAAAAAAATCAATTTAAAACATTTTCAGCATACCTGGAATCCCGACAGCTTGAAACCTTGTTCTATTGATGCAGCTACAACTTCCACACGCTAAAAATGTTATATGGCCTGTATTTGATGTAGCGCCTTCTAGAGTCCTGGAAACCCCTTAACTCCTGTGCCACCGTCACTAGATGTCACTTTGTTGGCCGTGTTCCATATTCCACCTTTAATTAAAGGATATTCTCCCAAATCAGACATTGCATAAATATTGTAGGAACTTTGTGCTTATTGTTAAGTCTTGGGGCAGCAGTAACTCAGGAGGTAGAGCGGGTTGTCCAGTAATCGGAAGGTTGCAGGTGCAATCCCGGCTCCGGGCAGAGAATGCTGCTGTTGTGTCCTTGGGCAAGACACAACCCCCCCCCCCCCCCCCCCCCCCCCCCCCCTGCTTGCTGTTGGTGGCCTGAGGGACCAGTGGCGCCTGTGATCTGCAGCCTCACCTCTGTCAGTGCGCCCCAGGGCAGCTGTGACTTCATCATAGCTCATCACCACCTGTGTGTGTGTGTGTGTGTGTGTGTGTGTGTGTGTGTGTGTGTGTGTGTGTGTGTGTGTGTGTGTGTGTGTGTGTGTGTGTGTGTGTGTGTGTGTGTGGGTGTGTGTGTGCGTGTGCGTGGGTGTGGGTGTGTGTGTGAATGATAAACTGTAGTGTAAGCACTTTGGATTCCTCTGACTCTGAAAGGCACTATACTAGTGCAGGTCATTTATCATTTAAGTCTGAAACTGTTAAACATCAATCTATACCCCCCCCCACACCCCTTCCCACACTCACACACACACTGCAGCAGCTAACATCCAGTCCCTTACATCGTAAACATCCTTGTAAAGTGTGAGAAACATGTAAATAATTAAGAAAACTCCAGCTGTGCACACATTCCTCCATGCTACTGTTGTTTAGGAACACTTTGCTCATTTTGTTTTGGTTCTTCAGTTTGAAGCACCCCCGGTGTTGTGTCTAAATGTGTTTTTGTCATTGGAAAGGATCTGGGTCCTACTCCACGTGTTACCAGCTCACCTACATCTAGTTTGTACTAGGGTTTAGAACGGTTATTTGCTCATTTCTAGATGCGACGCCACGTGGGCAGAGTTCTGGTACTGTAGGACCTGGCAGCGCTCTAGGTCCGGACTGGCATCAGGGTATCGTTCTACACGGAGCAGAACAGGTGAGATGATGCGTGTTTTTATAACCTTCAGCCTGAGAAGTGTGTTACTGTGGGAAACGGTCAACCCCTCTGTTATGTTTTTACTCCTCCGAGGCCCCAAAATGATCCCTTCACTGTGCCGGCGTATCCTCAGGTGTCCCGCTGCGTTTCAGTGGAATACCAGTGTGAAGTAAAACAGATCTTCACCTCTGAGGATCAAACACTAAAACCTGAGAGTGGTGAGACATTCACTTCTGTTATCATCTGGCTCCCTCCCATCCCTCCTGTTGGTTTTGTTTTCTTTTTCATGTCCTTTCCTCTCAGTGGGATCCTGGCCCGTTTACATCCAGCTGACCAATGACAAGACACTTGGCTGTGATTTTGTTGTCAGTGCCACTGGCGTCGTGCCAAACACTGAGCCATTTCTCCACGGCAACAGTGTAAGAAATCCCATTAGGATGCAGAGTGGAAATGATCTGTGGTTTTTGTTTCGGGTAGTTTAATATTTGAACTGGGGCATTTTGTCTCTGTGTTAAATGCACTTTTGTATTCTGCTCTGTTTTCGTGTCTAAAACACGATGTTTAAGATAAATCTTAACAACTTAAATACCGTAGCACAGATTAGAGATAAAGAAGGTCTCCTGTGTTTTAAGCTGGTTAACTATTACACAGGCTCCATGCCCTCACAAGTGCTCAAAGGTCTTTAAAGTTAAATGTTTTACAATGCTGTTAACTTATTGGTTTTTTTTTTTTATTTAAAGTTAGATTTGCTACTTCTGGGTGCCAAAAACTTCCTAACATATGAACTTCTTTTAGAGTTTCTGTAAGTTTTCTGTATTTCTAACTAAGAGCCCTCATGTCCACATTAGTCTACATGCTAGTACAGCCCAGATACATTTCAGTAAACAAGAATATCATCAAAAGGCTCTTTCTTGGTCAGTAATTCAATTTAAAAAGTGAAACTCATCCATTATATAGATTTGTTAGAGATAGATTTATTTTAAAGGCCTCATTCTCTGAAAAACAAATAGAACTTTTTCTTTTTTTAAATGCCATCAGTCACTTTGAGTTTCACATGTATGAATATGAAGAAAAAAAAACGAGAGAGCAGAAGCCATCCATTAGCATTAGCATTAGCAGCTCTACAACATGGCAGAACACCTTCAGGCTTGTGCTATTAGAGGTAAAACATCCGTGTTACATTTTTCACCCAAGAAGGAAGAGTAAACGGCAGTGGAAGAGTCTTGTTGCTTTTAGCCAATCAGAGGCGAGACATTTGCACGTCACGAATATTAATGAGTACGAAAGTAAAAAAATGAATGTTGATATTGTAATAATTGAGCTGTATCTGTGAAATGTAGCTTCTTTGTCCATAAATAACATCCGGCTTTAAGAGCAGCGTGTTATTGTGAAGGGTGTTCAGTGTTTGCTGTTGTTTAGTTTGCATTGGTAGGGGATGGAGGTCTGCAGGTGGATGACCACATGAGGACCTCAGAGCCAGACGTGTACGCTGCAGGAGATGTCTGCACTGCGTGCTGGGAGCACAGCCCACTGTGGCAGCAAGTAAATGAATAAACGTTTTTCTTTAACATTCTCTTTGTAGTTTTGATTAAACAACATAAAGCTCTTAACAACCTAGTTTTTAAATTATTTTAGATGTTTCTTGAAATAAGGGTCACTGAAAGCTTTATTTCATAGTTTTTTGAGCAAACACAAAAAAGATGTAATAAAACACTTTAAAATGCCAGCTGGTACGACAAATGATTCACTTGGCTCCAGTGTGTATGAAGAAATTACAAGTTTGCTTTTAGACGGTGAGTTGGATGCACTGACTCGTTTGGTTGTTTCAAACGTTTGAAACAAATGTGACAAAATAATTGTTCTACTTATCAAAACATTTGTGGGATTTTCAAGAATTGGCAAACAGCTACATTTTATGCAAAGAAATAGAAAAGAAGTATTTGATTTTAAAAAAATTGTGAGTGTTTTTGGAGCCGTGAGCTGGAACGAACCTACAACTCAGCTGTAACTCTGGCTTTAAAGCTTCAGACCAACGGAGATAAAACCAATCATGTTGTTTTCATGTCTTTTGATTGTTGTCTTTAACATTACTCTCAAGTGATTAGCATGACTTTTAATCCTTTACCAGCTGTTTAGGGACAGTTTGAACCCCCTTTGGATTGTAATTGAAACTGATTAAATAATTACCTGCAAAAGCTGGGAAACATAAAATTAACTTTAATTGGAAAAACTGAAGCTTTTTCTTTTATAAAAGGATTGCTGCTGCTGCCGCTGCTGTCTAATAATGTAACTATTTAAAAACAAACGCCCCCCAAAATTTACATTTGAAGTTGACTTTTCGGTTTGGGCCTGTAAAGATGAAGAAATCCACCTGAGCAGCAGATCAACTAGTTTGTCGGCTGCTGTTGAGCAACTAGAATCTAAACAAACAACAGTGGAATAACACCTCACCTTTCAGTTACAGGAACGGGTCTTCTCAGAACTCAGACCTTTAGAAACTTGTTAAAGACTATTACAAGAATTCCCTACACATATCTGCTATTTTTAAACTCAAAAGCTAAAAGGAAATCCTTGATTTGAGCATCAACCATTGTGTGTGCGTGCATGTTTGTGCACAGATGCGTTTGTGGACCCAGGCCCGTCAGATGGGCTGGTACGCTGGGCGCTGCATTGCAGCAGATGTCCTCTCAGAACCTGTCGACCTAGATTTCTGCTTTGAACTCTTCTCACATATTACCAAGTTCTTTAACTACAAGGTAAACTAAGTAGTTTAACTAATAACCATTCTGTTAATCATCTGCCCTGCACGTATTTCCAGATTTCAGTGAAGGTTGATTCTCAGAGCTGGATGTTGCATTTGATTGTTCGACAGGTAGTCCTGCTGGGGAAGTTTAACGCTCAGGGACTCGGGTCTGATCATGAGCTGCTGGTGCGCTGCACTAAAGGCCAGGAGTACATCAAGGTCAATGACACAAATCAGGACAAGAATATTTTCTCTCTTTTTTTTATTATTGTTGTGTGTGTCTGTGTGTGTGTGTTTTCCAATGCAGCTACCATCAGAATGTCAGCCAAAAATAAAGTTAATAGAAGTATTTGCCTATGCCTGGATTAGTTCCAGGATTACAGGAAGACAGAAAGATTCAGATGAGTCAAGTTACCGTAGCCAGCTGATAATGCTCCTCCTCACTGTGACCTTTAGAAGGAAGGAAAAACACCAGTGGCCTAAAAAAAACCAAAAGGAGTTCTCTGAAGCTCAGATTCAGTCTGCAAACCAGTTTTTCAGAGAGTAAAATCTTTTACCTCACCTGCACGTCATCTTTATTTCTCTGAAACTAAATATGGAGTATACAGTTGTCCAACATCTACTTAGAAACCTAAACCATTTTGGGTGTGTGTCAACATCACGCCTCTTGTCCTAAAAGAGAGCACAACCACCTTCTTTAGAAAGAAGTCTCTAAAATTGCATTTTATACATCGAAAAAGCTGATTTAAAGGTGTCGGTATTCATGTCGCTATTCAAAGCTGCTGGTTGTCATTTGCAGGTGGTCCTCAGCAGGGGGAGGATGGTGGGAGCAGTGCTGATTGGAGAAACAAACCTGGAGGAGACTTTTGAAAACCTGATTCTCAACCAGATGGATCTGACTCCTTATGGAGAGGAACTGCTCAACCCCAACATTGATATTGAGGACTACTTTGACTAAATACCATGAATGTGTTTGAGACTTAGTAAGCAAGAGCTTATAATGGGCTGTATTGTTTCTTATCAGTGCTAATTTATTTTATCTTGAAAAAGAAACTTGTCAGAATGACTTGCTGTTAGAACGATGTAAACTTGGGGTTAACTGTTGCTTTGTCATTTTGATTATGCAAATACACCGAATGAGACACATTCTAGTACAGAGCGCGTCTATCTTTAATCCTAAATAAGTAACTACATGGACAAGACAACATTTTGGGTGGAAAGTTCCATGTGACCCTTCCTGACACCTCACCTACTTTATGGCATTAAAACTTGTAAGGAGAAGGACAGTATTGGGTGTGGAGCAAACAAAACAACTCTTACAAACTCGAACGTAGCAACCTTCTGGGAATCATGCTAGACTCATCCTGAGGTTAATTTTCCAGAATTATAGGAATTTTAGGTGGAGATCATTCACAGCAAAACCCTTGGTGGTTGTATGTGATAAGTTTTAAAAACGTACACTAAGGCAGAATCTGAGGGGCAATGGGTAGAGTTGATAAACACTTTTTCTTGCTTTTTGTCCTGTTTAACAGTTGCAGCATTTAGTTACTTGGAACTAGATGTGAATAAAGTTTTTTAAAGAGTCTAAAATGTGATGTTTTGTTCTGACCTCAGGTACAGAACATACTAAATTATTCCTGAATGTACAAAAGAAAAGTCTTTAGAACACCAATACCTTCACCAAAATAAAAAAAGTGGGCAAAAGGAGTTTTTGCCAGTAAACATGTTTGTAGCATTGGATAAATGTCTCATGGACCACTGGATGAACTTTAATGAAACTAGAAAGTAGTCATTGGATGTCTAACAGTCAACCCAAATAAAGATGGCCACCAAAGCCAACCATCATCAGCTAATATAAAAAAGTGTCAAACTCATTAAGTTTTACAGATATTGTGCTACAATTTGGCTTTTCAGTAGATGAGTCATTCACAATAATCCAAGGGAATTGTTTTTCCTTGAACTTGGCTATGAAGTCAAATGTTTGCCATTGAAGTAACCTTTTGTTAGAAATAATATTTTATGATCCACAGGGCAGATTTAGTGAAGCAAAAAACAAGATATTAATCTACAACTGATAATTTTTGGAGTCAACCCAATTGATGTTGACCACCACAGTGACTGACCTTTGAAAACACAGAAATGGCTCTAGCAGTTTTGTCGTCTTAACCGTTGTCATCCCCAGTGGCGGTCTTAAACACTACATTGTGCATCGTATTTGTGTAAATCTTTTATTGCCAAAGTAAACTGTTTAATCCTTCGATGTTCACCTACAATTGATAAACTTATAGCCAATCTGATTGAAGATGGCTACCAAAGCTAATCAACATTAGCAAACACAAAGATAAGTCAGTTTTACAGATTTAGAGCTAAACTTTTATCTGATAGTGAAATCTAGTTATACATAAGTGCTCATAACACTGTTTTTATTTACTGGGAAGATCCCACTTAGATATAAACCTCTTTCACTGGAGACCTGACTAGGCAGCAGCAAGCATCACATAGGTTGTAAGGATAGTGAAACAAAGATTACATTTAAAACTGAAAAGACAACTATGCAAATGAAACTGTTGCACGTTGTGAAGGTGGCTTCAAGGATTTTTAGTTTGGATGTAAAATCACTAAGTCATTTCCAGTCATTCTGTAGCCCGTGCCAAGCCAAGGGTGCTGAGTGGACAATACTCAGTTCAGTTTGTGCAAATGTAGCAGAAAGCAACAAGTGATCTGCACATGAAGAGAACAACAATGAGCACTTCTTATTGCAAGAAGAGAACATATTTAGAAAGGCAACAGTCAGAGGACTGCCTTTTTACGCAAATGACTGTGCCTCCTTTTCAAGGTTTTACAAGAAAAAAAACTGAAAATAAGATCATTTTAATAAAAGTAAGAAACTGTTTAAGCTAAAAGGGATTTCTCAACTTGCCGTAAATAAAACCCAAATGAAGAAATTCACTTGATACTTTGCCTCCAGGTTTGTGTTTTATGACCTTGTGTTTTCAGGGTCAGTGACTTATCAGAAGGATATGCCTACGAGGATTTTAGGAACACTCGTTGGTGGACGTTGATATGGTAACAGCATTTTATGCCCTCTGGGTATAATGGAAAATTTCTAACTACGCGTATAAATAGAAAATGACTAAATGAGAGTGATGGGTTGTCCAGGTTATAAAGTGTGTGTGTGTGTGTGTGTGTGTGTGTGTGTGTGTGTGTGTGTGTGTGTGTGTGTGTGTGTGTGTGTGTGTGTGTGTGTGTGTGTGTGTGTGTGTGTGTGTGTGTGTGTGTGTGTGCGTGCCGCTCGTGCGAGAGAGAGAGGTGAGATAGAGAGTAGGAGAGGTGAGTCAACAGTGTGTCACGTGTTTTCAAGATAAAATTGAAATTTCCGTTCATATGGAGACACCGGACATAAGGGCTGGATAAGCACTGATATCTCCAGTGGCAGATTTAGCTATTTGGGGGCCCAAGGCGAACACAGACATGGGGCCCCCTTACACTAAATTTTTGACAATTTTATCTTTAACTGGATTTGCAAAACTCTCTCCTCTTCTGATATGAGTTATTTTCCATTTTTATTAGTCCTCCTCTTTTTTCCTGTCTTTCTCTCCCTTTGAGTGCCTTCAATATTTGCTCTGATTTTTTCTTCCTGTCAGTGCTCCTGTGCTTTTGCCTTTGTTATTTTTTCTTCATCTATTTTCCACTTTGGTCTATGTTTTCTTCGTTTAAACATTTTCCATTGTCTTTCATTTTCTGCTTCCTTTTGATGTTTACATAGAAAAACGACATCCCTTTTGGAAGTGAAGATAAAAGCTTTTTTATAGCAAGCTGCTTCTTTCTCTTATTGGAGCCACTAGGATAACTCCATTTCATGCTTAATGTTTTGACTACCGCTTCGAGTTTGTTACGAACGCTCCCACCTGTCTTCTTCTTATTATTATTATTTGTGGTCTTATGGCACTTGGCAAACAACAATTTGGTGCATTACTGCCACCAACTGGATTGGAGTGGAATGACTACCAATCACTTCCTGTTTGTGCATCAAGTTTTAAAGGAATGGTCCACTGTGGAATTAACAGAGGGGTGCTGGCGGTCAGGCCTAGGGGACCCCCCAACATAAGGGGGCCCCAGGCGGACGCCGACCGATGCCTAATGGTAAAACCGTCACTGGATATCCTATCCACTGATGTATTCACGTTACCCAGCAAGCCGGTCACTAATGCTAATGTAGAGCAAACATGGTCAGCAAGTTTTATTACTAACATCAGAACTCACATTTTTATAAGGCTTCATCAGCCAGCTCTGTTTAAAAACTGGGCTTATTCAAATAACCATGAAACACTTCTACCAAATCAACTATGTGGTTTATATAAATAGAAAAATAATCCATTGAGGATTTTGAGTCAACTATATTCAAGATGACTGCTACAGCTTGATTCTTCCTTGCAATTCTCTATTTGGGGTCAACCACCACAAAGTGCAGTGGGAGACTTCACAAAGCTTAATGGAGGTCTTTATCGCAGCATTTCTAGATTCTACTATTACTGTTCCAATTAACTGCATGTTGGTACAAGTTACTTAGAGTTGTAAGTTTCATGATCTGAAAGAAATCCAAAACTTGTTCTCCTTTGTTGATGCTTAGTAGCTCACATTACTGGGGAAAACCACAAACAAATCGCATGTCTGCTGTCAAAGGAAATAACAGGAAAAAGAGATTTAGCTCTGAGATTTGCTCTCTATAATTAACGCTTCTCTGGTCTCTGGTCAGGTCCCTGCTTACTTTAAGAACGCTGTAATCCACCTGCTTCTTAAAAAAACGAGTCTCGACCCCTCTCTCCATAACAGCTTCAGACCCATCTCTAAACTTCCGTTCATCTCCAAGATCTTGGAAAAGGTTGTGGCTAAACAACTCACAGCTGCTCTTGATGAACATAACATCTATGATTGCTTCCAGTCAGGTTTTCGTAGAGCTCATTCTACTGAAACAGCTCTTCTTAGGGTCTCTAATGACCTTCTGACTCACAGTGATGCAGGGGACTGTTCTGTTCTGGTCCTGCTGGACCTGACTGCAGCCTTTGGCACTGTTGACCATCAACTGCTACTGGAGAGGCTGAGAGACTGGGTAGGCCTATCAAGATCTGCTCTGGAGTGGTTCTCCTCTTATCTCTCTGAGCGCTCCTTTTCTGTGGCCGTCTCCAAGTTTAGGTCCACCACCACCTCTCTTACCCATGGTGTCCCACAAGGTTCTGTGCTGGGGCCTCTGCTCTTCCTCCATGCTTTCTCTTCAGCACATCCTGAGCTCCTTCAAAGGAATATCATACCATCTTTATGCAGATGACATACAGCTGTACATCTCCTTTAAGCCCCATGAGATGTCTAAGCTGCAGCTGTTACACACCTGCTTAGACTATCAAAACCTGGATGGCTGGGAGCTTTCTTCAGCTGAATGATGATAAGACTGAGATCCTCATCTGTGCCCCAGAAAAGCTGGTTCCCAAAGTCAGAGACTCTCTTGGTCAGCTTGCTTCCCACACCAAACCTTCTGTCAGGAATCTTGGTGTGACCTTTGACCCAGCTCTCATCCTGGATTATCATGTCAGTTCTCTTGTTCGCTCTTCCTTCTTCCATCTCAGGAACATTGCTAAGCTGAGTCCCATTCTGTCCCGCTCTGAACTTGAGACAGTTCTCCACACCTTCATCTCCTCACGCTTAGACTACTGTAAGTCTCTTTTCACGTGTCTGAGCAGAACCTCCCTGAACCGTCTACAGGTGGTTCAGAATGCCTGTGCTCGGCTTCAGACCAAGTCCTCCAAACACACCCACATCACCCCGCTTCTCCTCCAGCTTCACTGGCTGCCAGTCAACTTCAGGGTTCATTTCAAGATCCTGGTTCTGGTCTATAGGGCCTTACATGGACAAGCACCATCTTACATTGGTGATCTTCTTAGTCCCTAGACCCCCAGCAGGTCCCTGAGGTCCAGTGATCAAAGCCTACTGGTTGTGCAGCGCACCAGGCTAAAGACCAAAGGTGACAGATCATTTGCTGCTGTGGCCCCCAGACTCTGGAACTCTCTCCCCCTGAGCCTGAGATCAGTGGACTCAGTGGTCTCCTTCAAAAAGCAGCTGAAGACTCACCTGTTCAAGCTGGCTTTTGTATGACCTTCTTCACCACTCTCTCTTTATTCTGCTCTCCCCACCTATTCCACCTTCCTCAGGATCCACTGATTTCCCTCTTTCCTATTCACTCTCTCTCTTTCTTTACATTTTTTCTTTTAAATCCCAATTGTCTATTTTTGCTCATTTTAAATATATTTTTAAACATTTTCTAAATGCTTTTTTATATTTTTACATGTTTTGTTTTTGTGAAGCGCCTCGTGATTTTTATCTTGAGAGGCGCTATAGAAATGATACTTTCTTCTTCTTCTTCTTCTTCTTCTTCTTCTTCTAGCTTAGTATTACAAACATAAGCTGTTTTCACATTGCAGTCAAAACCCCTTTAATCTTTTTCTTCCCGAGAGCTGGCAAATATTTCTGTCAAAGTAACGATTACAAGTAAAACTGACAGGCATGTAAAGTTCTATGATGTAATAGATGTGACACTTTGGAGATTGGGCTGTTTAAGATGGCAGCATTTCCTTCTGGCTGCATTTGGGGTATCTGATAACTCATAGCCTCTTTTTTCCACCGGACGTGAAAGCGTTGCAAAAAAAAAGGTTCAGCACAATATCTATAGAAGGGGTCACCAAATTTTAAAAACTGAGAGCTACTTCAAGGGGACCTTTAAACTAAAATAGATCTTCATAAATTTATTTTAATGCATTTTTAAAGAAATGTGTAGTTTTTAAATCTATATACATTTGTGGTTTTAAAAGAAACAATGAGAACAAATTGTGTCGTGGAACATTAAAAGAAAGATAAAAATAAAAACGATCATAAAACATTAAGATGAAGTCGAATAAAAACAGGAAATGATAATGAAAACATGTTAAATTTGATGAAAAACAATAAAAAACAATAAAAGATCAAGGCAGTGTTGTGATCCCTAATGATGAAACACCATCACATAAAAAGGAGTCTTCAAGCGAGATTTAAAAATCAGAAGCGATGGTGCCTGCCAAACATTTAGAGGCAACCCTTTCCAGAGTGTTGGAGCTAGAACCCAAAATGCATGATTCCCCCTCGGTCTGTGTATTGAGCGGTGGACTACCAACAGTTCCTGCTCAGCCGGGCAAAGAAATTGAGATGAGACATGTCTGTGCAGTAGTGCTGAAAGATAGGAGGGAGCAGTGCCTTGAAGAGCCCTGCACACAAGTAGGAGGATCTGTCTCTGTACTGTATCGGGAACCAGTGTAGGACCTCCAGCAGCAAAGTGATATGCTCCCGGCGTCTATTCCTTATCAGAAATCGTGCAGCAAGGTTCTGGACGAGCTGGAGCCTTGCAATCGTGCCCTGATTCAAACTGGCATACAAGACATTGCAGTAGTCCAGTTGAGACAGGACAAATGCATGCATAATAGACTCCGGGTGTGCCCTAGACAACAGGGGCTTAATCCTAGACAGGCGTCTCAGATAAAAAGAAACAGGCCTGCATAACTGTATTAATTTGTGTCTTGAACTTCTGAGCTGAGTCAACTTTTATCCCCAGATTGCTAACAGCTTTCTTTTCAAATGGCGTCAGAGAACCAAGGTCCACGTCAGAGCCATCTAATCCAGGGCTGAATTATGACTTCAGTTTTTGTGTCGTTCAGTAGTAAAAAGTTAGAAGTCATCCAGGATCAAACGTCTGTTAAACAGTCCAGAATAGGAGAGACGGATCCACCAGCCCCCCGCCAGAGTGGAAGATGGATCTGGCACTCATAGGAGTAAAGATGGAATTTCACACCATGCTGACAAAAAGAAGCCCCAGGGGTAGAAAATTTACAGCAAAAAGAAGGGGACCAAGGACAGAGCCCTGTGGCACACCCCAGCGAAGTCCCACCCTATAGATGAGGCTTCACCCATCCTAACACAGTAGCTCCTGCCCTGAAGTTGGAGCTGAGCCATTGGAGGGGCGGGTCAGTGATCCCCATCCAGTGTTGCGTTAAGTCCAGAAGGATATCATGGTCGACCGTGTCAAAAGCTGCAGATAGATCCAATAGCATCACCCATGTCACTAGCTAATAAGGTATCATTGAAGACCATTAAAAGTGCTGTCACATTTCTGTGTCCAACCCTGACTGCAATGTCTCTGACTCCCATAACTTGTGTGTGTTGAGAAAAGCTACCAGCTGTGAATATACAACCCTCTCCAGCAGCTTTGAAAGAAAAGAGTTTCGAGATGGGCCTGTAGTTAGCTAAAATTATCCAATCCAGGTTTTTTTTCATCAATGGATGAACAACTGTCAGTTTGATGAGTAAAGATGTTCTATATTTATCAGTTTGTCTATTTTTTATTATGTTTGTATCGCTATAGTAGTTCTAGTGTATACGTGTTACTGACATGTCAAGAAAAATATAAAATTTTAAAAAGTTATAAAACGATAGATGTGACGTAAGCAGTGTAGCTGCGGTATGTGTACGCTTGTATGTATTCACCGAGGACCCCCGATTCCTGTTACTGAAAGTTACTCTTTTATTCATGTTTGAATTCATATTCATGTAATATATATGTGAAAGTTGTTACATTTTAATGTTTCAGGTATTGAAAAAGTTTGCACACTCCAAAAACACAAACTGAAATCGTTATGACGATTAGGCTCCGCCAGCGGTGCGTGATAATGTTCACAAACAAGCGCCACTAGTGAGTCAAGTCAGTGAGAAGAGGTGGGAGGGATCTCTGGAGAGGCGTTGCCACACACTGCCTTCACTGAGCTACCCGCAAATCCTTACATATTTACATACGTTGCGCACTCTTACCAAGCGTTGATTTGCTCCATTCGTTGTGAGTACTAGCTAAAGAAACACGGTTCTTAAGAATGGCTAATTTCATTCACGTCCCGGACGAGGCTCCTCTTGTGCCCAAAATAGATGTGACCGTGGACGAAAACGACTACAGATCCGGTGCACTGCAGCTAATGAAAGAGCTCAGACCGAGCTGGAAGCCGTCCGAAATTAAAATGAAGGTATTTGATTTTAAACATCTCATTTTGAGTGTGTCACATGTAATACGTTTCGATATTATCTGATATCTTGAGATTCTCTGCATTTGTTATATTGGTTAAAAACGAGCTAATATTGACGCTAAAGCTAGCTAGCAAGGTGTCAAGTTCCCTCGTCAAATGAAATTAGCGTTTATTGTGATGTGGGATGCGGTTCATAGAGCAACAGGTCTATATAAATTACTTCAAACCATTTTACATAGGGGTTGGATAGAGTTAAAAAATAAAGAACCCTATTCCATCTTTTCCGCGTTAGCAAAGGGTTGATTCTTTCCATCTGCGTCACGTAAGATGAAACGGTTGGAGTTTTTCTTTCTAGCTTTTTGCTCCTCTGCCTTGCCTAACCTAACTTCCCAATTTTCTCATAAAACCATTGACTAATGGAATGAAGGGGAGGTTAAAAGAGGATTTATTCAACCATGACGTTGGGAATCTTCTGGAAGACGCGAGAACTTAACGCAGCCACACATATTTGCATTTACATTTTGCATACATGACCCAATCTTGTTATCCGAGGGTTCTGCTCACTGATGCCCTTAATTCAAACCAGGGCTACTGTTTTAATTACATGACCAAATAGATCCCTGTGCTAGGATATCTGAGCAGGAATCATTTTCTTAATTAATGAACTGGGGGTGTGGCTCTGCTTTGTGAACATTCAGGAATGAAGGTGATCACATGCCTTCCTGCCTTTCCTTTCAGGCAGAGTGGGGTTTCAGCAAATGCCAGTCATTGCTTTCTGGTGGTAAATAAAATTCCTCACAATCCCATCATTCTTAGTCAATCCCATGTCTAGTGAACAATTAGGGCTGGTATGTTTAGCACCTGACTTCCAAACAGCATGTTGTCAGCTTTTTCATGCAGATGGTTGAAATGAATCCTAAATTTTGTGACTTTATTGGGTCTGTTTTCCTTATAACCTTTAAGCAAGAGTTTTTTTTTAACCACACACGTGTGTTTAATTACCCGATTGAACTGTTCTCCACCTCTCGTGTCCATGTTTGCAGTTTTTCACAGATGGAATAACCAACAAACTGCTCGGTTGTTATGTGGGTGGAGTGATGCAGGACGTGGTCCTCGTTCGTATTTATGGCAACAAGACCGAACTGCTGGTTGACCGGGAAAATGAGGTGAAAAGCTTCAGAGTGCTGCATGCGCACCGCTGCGCCCCACGCCTGTACTGTACCTTCAACAACGGCCTCTGCTATGAATTTCTGCAAGGCACTGCACTGGAGCCCGAGCATATTCGCAGCCAGTCGGTCTACAGGTAAGAAGACTAGGAGATGTCACGGACTGTCTCTGTCAACAAAAACACTTCTAATCTTGTTGTAAACAAAGGGAGTAGAGGACAGCTAAGGGTTCATATGCCTCATCATTCTTAAAAATAACAGACCTTCATGTTGTGGAAACATTTCTACAAACTGTAGAGCTACCTTTCTAATTGTGCTATTTTTACATGTTGTATCACTTGAAAACTTAAGTCCACTTTATTTATTTTTTTATCGGTTTCTCAACCGATTCTCTGTCAAATAATTTGTGCCTTTTAAAAACATCAGTTACCTTCATGGTGTCTGTGTTTGGTCTATTTCCTGCAATCCCACATGAAGCTCTCTTTTTATGTGACGTTTTAGTTGCCCAGAAGGTGTTTTTGAGGTTGCAGGGTTATAAATATCTGGGCTTCATGTTGAAAAGGAGCTTTGTTGACCCCCAAGTTCTGGTTCTGTTGAAAAAAAAAAAAACCTTTACATCACACACGTTTTAAAAATAAAAGCGACATTTTTTAAACAGTTTGGTGTTAAGAATGTTAATGCTTCCTTTATCTGTATCTTCTAATGCTGCAGATTAGGCTGTAATTTGGAAGTAAAACACATCCTAATGCTGTTGTCTGATACTTTTTAACTAATCTCTTCTGGTTTTTCTGCTTCTGTTTTTCAGACTTATTGCGAGACAGCTGGCTAAGTACCACGCCATCCATGCCCATAATGGCTGGGTTCCTCGGTCTGACCTGTGGCTAAAGATGGACAAGTACTTCACGCTTATTTCCAAGTGCTTCAAGGAGCCTGAGCAGAATGACCGGTGAGAGCGAACAGCGTTAACCACTTACATTTCCTTCTATTTTAGGCAAAATGTATCCAAAATTCACAAATGAACTCACGCCAATTAAATCTGATTAAACCTATGAAGACAAAATGAATTTTCTATGTAAAAAGAAAAGCTGTTTTAAAGGAATGTGGCTGTTCTCCATCATGAATGTGTTTCTTAAAAAGGTGTCTAAGAATAGCTTTGTTATCTCCGTACAGAAGAGTGGGATGATGAGTCAGACTTGGTTGTGTTTAACAGATTGTCCTCAAGATTATCATATATACACAACAGTGGCTTCCACTTTTTCCATTGCCTCTGCGCTTTTAGAAGCCACGGTGTCCATAACAAGTCTCACAATTATGCCTTATTTGCATTCTTGATTAAATGAAATGAAAAAGTTGTTATTTGTAAATCTGACAGTCTATGTGATCTATGGTGCGGATCGCTACAGCAATTTGACTTTAGCTCCGAGGGCGTGGTTGTTCTTGGTCTCCAGCCAGATCAAGGCTTGTTGTACAAGTTGAGTGAAAGTCCCTGTATGGTTTAGGAAATTCCATCGTAGTTTGGAGATAAATATGATTCACTGCCTCCGGCATGAAGGATTTTAGTGTGTGTTGGAGGGGGGGGGGGGGGGGGGGGGGCGTCAATCTGTCTAAATCTATAACAAAACTTTCTTTAATTTCTGTCTTTTGAAGAATAACATTTCATGTTTGTAGCTTTCCCTGCCACGTAAGCTAATGTTTTTGCCCCCCCCCCTTCAGGTTGAACGTGGATGTCCCTGGCCCTCAGGCCCTCCGAAAAGAGCTGCTGTGGCTCCAGCAGAGCTTGTCTGTGCTGGGCTCTCCTGTGGTTCTCTGCCACAACGACCTCCTTTGCAAAAACATCATCTACAACCAAAGGGAAGGTGAGTATGAACTGCCGCCAGACGCTACTCCATTAGCTGGGATGTGATTTCTGTTGTGGAGCTTACGCCCATATCAGGCAGGGCTCCCGCTTCACTCATGGTCGCTGTTTGAGTGAGGAACAAAACGCTCAGACAAGACAGTCCACCTGTTTGCTGTTGCAAAAGCTCTGGACTAAATTTATGTTTGAATTAATGCAAATTGCTCATTTGTGTTGAGACCAAATGCTCGAATGTTGCTTCAGCGTAATAACCTGCATGGATTTTATTCAGTCTTTATTGATGTCATTCTAATTCTGTGCTAAAATAGAAAATTCTTTAACAAATGATTTTAAATACAAGTCTCAGTTTAACCCGCAGCATGAGTTTAGGTGGCTGCAGTGACGGTAACATGTTTCATTGGTGTGAATGTGAAGCAGCCTTTGGTAACCATGCAGACTTAGATCTAATATATTAGCTAAGCTGTTCTTGTTATTGTTGGATTATTTGTTTAAGAAGAGAAAGCATCAAGCTGTAGATAAACTGGGCCGTATGGTTTGTGTGTTTGGGAGGTGGGGGAGGATTTAAAGGGAGGGTATGAGAGCTGTTTACCCCCTTGTCAGTGACAAGGGGGGCGAGGCCATTCTCACAGCTCCTTGTGTCTAGCTTTTCTCCTCTAGGAATGACAGAGGAGGCTGTGGCTGTCCCCCCTGGGGAGGGAATGGAGAGAGACAAACCTCACCTCACGCACAGGAGGCTTTGGGGGCCCGCACGTAGCCTGCCCTCCTGCTCAGACTAATCAGGATGGGTTCATGGCAGCAGTAGGAGCCACTTGCATTCCCACTGTCCATAAATACAAACCATCAGTCAGGCTAATTACATGCTAGTTATTACAACACATGTAAAGTTTCTTCTTCTTTTTGCAGTTTTCCATTTGTATTGTTGCTACTATAATCCCAGGGAGGATTTAACTAGTATGAAGGCGTGATAATCTGTTTATATCTAAGTAAAAGTGGAATAGTTATTTTCCGGGAACTAATTAACTAACCATTAACCGTAAGCTACCCAAGTTTGTTTAGTCATGACCTGAGATTTGCCTTTTTGCTGCTATACATATATATAAATAGGCATTAATAAAATCTGCGGCCCATGGTGGATTTACACAGGTGTTCTATGCTGTTTGAAAATAAAGTTAAAAGAAATTAACTATTTCTGATTACACATGATTAGAAAGTTGGGAGTTAGCTTGGTGAAGCACTTCTGGGAATAACTGACGTGTAGATTATCATGTTTGAAAGCTGAGACGTAGAGGAAGTATCAGTTTTAATTTTAAATCACCAAGATCTGTGGGGAGGCTTTGATCTGACCCGCACAAGGCAAAGCAGGACTGACCGGTTTAGAGAGGAAACGTCATCATCATCTCTTCTCTCTTCTTGCTTGTGCTGCCAACACCCAGCAGCTTCCGATCAAATGTCTTCCTGCCTGGAAGTGCATCTGCTCAAGTTAAAAATCTGCTTAAAATCTACTTATTATACAAGATGTAAGAGTTTAGAGACTAAAACCTCACAAGAAATTACGTTTCTCCTAACTATAAAGTCTCATCTTTCAACAAACCATAAGTTCAAAAACAATAAAAGGTTTTGATCATAGTTTTAAATGTGGTTATGCGTTTTACTCTTTCATTCATAAACACACACTCTTGTATTTGTATCCTTGTGTGGACATTTCATTGACTTCCATTCATTTTAGTGGCTCCACTATGCCTAACCTGAACGAAAACTTAATTCAAACCATACCTCTAAAACCAAGTATTGAGGTTTTCTGCGCTGTGTGGGCCAGCCAAATTTCCCCACAATGTGGAAATGTCCAGATGTGTCCACTTAAACATGTAAAGTCCAGTACACACACACATAAATGTGTTGCTTCCTACATATCTAAAGCCGGGCGTACACTGTGCGACTTTTTCACTTTTTTGAGCCGATTTCCCACTCGTGCGAGAATCCACGACATCGGGGCGAGTTTTGCGCTGAGCGTCGTGTAGTGTACAGGGGGTTACGAGAGGCGATTAACACCACGTGACCAGCTACCGATCAGCAATCGTGAGCTCGCACAAACTTCTGGCGTGTTTAATATTTTGTTCGTTCCTTGTGAGGGTATCGCACTGTTGAAGCGGCGCTGCGACCCAATTCCAATTTTATTTATAAAGCACATTCAACAAGGCATTACAACCAAACAAGGCGCTGTACACTAAAAATGTTAGTTAATTAAACCGGCATTATACAATCATGTCGAACACAGATAAAAGATAAAAAGGAAATACAACAAAAGTCACAAAACTAACAGCTAAAAATCAATAAAACACAAGGAGAATAAAAAATTAGAACAACATTTTAAAAAAGAACCTCAATAATACGGAAGTTGATATTGTGAATTCCATTTTTAAACAGTGCAGATGTAAGTGAGGTTCATAATTATGTGGTATAAGCTAGGTTGAAGTAGTGAGTTTTCAGGCGTGATTTAAAAATGCTAGCTGTTGGTGCTTGCCTCACTAGCAGTGGTAATGCGTTCCACAGCTTCGGTGCACAGACAGAGAAAGCCCTCTCTCCACGGCTTTTTAAACGTGCATTCGGAACAGCTAGGAGGAGCTTATCTTCAGACCTGAGAGCACGCGGCGGGTTGTAGTAATGGACAAGTTCACACAGATATGGAGGAGCTTGATGGTTCAAGGACCCAAATGTATCAGAACCGCTCACGGCGCATGCGCAATCCTGCATCAACACCGCTCGCCCGCTATTTCCCTAATAACACACGTTGTTCGTTTTTGTTTCTACACGTTTTTTTTACTCACAAAGATTGTCAAGAAAGCGTGTTTGTCGTGTTCATGTCAAATTAAACTGATCACAAAACACAGATTTACTTTCTTTATTTCGTTTTCCTCATCCAACCCCCATAAATCCCTGTGTCCCCCTGCAACACTCCCGAAGGACAACAGGCAAGACAAAAAAGTCTGACGTGTTGTGTAAAAACTGCTATTTTTAGGTCCGACGTGTTGCTACCAGACGTGCAGTGTGAGCACAAGGCTCGTGAGATCTGCGCTGCGAGGAAATCGTACAGTTTGAGCTGAAGCTGAGTGCTACGAGTGAAAAAGTCGCACAGTGTCCGCCCAGCTTAACACAAGTGCTGTGGTTGATCTGAACGCCCTCATCAGGCACGTGGCAGTGAAGCTGCCACTTCCTGTACTGTTAAACCCATAAATGGGCAGTAGGTAGAAGTGTAGGTCTGTTTTTGTTCAAAACACACACACACATACATACATAACTACTCACTCACTCAGACTGCAGCTCACGTTTGATTCAAGGCGTTGTGCAAGTCTGTAGCTTCAGTCACAAGAAGCCTTTTCAAGCTCATGTCACATGCAGAAGCAGCAGGCACCATGCTATTGGCTCCCCAGCAGACCAATGGGGAGGGAGCACTAGGGGGGTGAGGATGGGAGTGTGGCGGGGTGGGGGCTGTGAGGGAGGGTTTGTGGCAGCAGGCCCTGATGTCTCCAAAGTGCGTGGAAGAAAGGGTGACTAGAGACAAATGTGCCTGAGAGAGTGAGCATGTGTGAAAGATGTTTGCACAAACCTTTTCATCTGCTGCACAGGGGGGCTATAGCCACTGCCTGGAGGTGTTCAGTTGTGTCCCGCTAGGACCCACACGCCGGCTGGTAACCCACCTCAAAGTGTCTTTCTCTGTAGTCCAGCAACACCTCAAGAAAGTTTTAATTTTTTTTATTTATTTTTTTTATTTATTTTATTTTTTTGTCTCTTTGTGAGGTCAAACTGATTGGCCAAAGCTAAAAAAAATAATGCAAATGAATGACTTAGATTAAGAATATAATCTCTTTTCCTTTGAAAGTGTTTGTTCGTGCGGGCTTGTTGAAGTAAGGGTTTGGATTTTGAGATTTACAGCCTCATGACTGACTGCTTCCCTCTTTGTTCATTGTTTTTTCACATGTTTGACATTTTCTCTGCTTCTCAACCGCTCTCAGACAGCAACACATTATTCAACTTCCTCCTGCTCCTTAAACATGAAACCTAAAGCTCCTGAAACTGTTGTGATTTTATTTAAAAATCCAGATCGGCTCTTTTATTTATGGTGTTTCATCACCTTTTTAAGTTTCCCAACGCGCCTAAAACTCCTGTGAGCTGACGGACCTTTTGACTCCAGCTCCTCCAGTGTGTTGCTGCCTTGGCTCCCTCTCCATGAGTATCTCCGTACTTTCCTGTCCATTCCCACTTCGTTCCTCTACTTTTGTTTCCTTTTGCTTGTTCATCCTCTTGCAAACAGAACTGTAACATGGGCATTTTCCCTTCTCATGCTAAGCTTGCAGCCAAAGCAAACATTGCGCACCGCCAGCTCGTCCTCTTTCCATTAGCCCTTCGTACATGTTTCATGTGTTGCATCATAATCTTTAATGCATCCCAGCTGCCTATAGGGTGCGTTGACATGTTATTTTATTTTCTCCAGGGTGTTAAATGTTACCGCCTCTTTCTCTTCAGACTTGAGGGAAAGTGTGCATGCCAGATCTCATCCTCTTCTATACTTTTTTCTTTTTCTTTTGTGCTTTTACCAAAATATAAACCTATTTGAATTCCTTAAACATAATTGAATAGGTTATTTTAATGTTCAGACACATCTATTGAACCTTTTTTTAACCAACTAGTTTTTCTAGTACTTACACATAAAATGATTCCTCCTTTTTCCATCTTTTCTCCTGTACATCTTTCAAAATGCAAACTCTTACTCCGCGCCCGTCCAATTAGCAGATCACATCAGCTAGTCCAGTTAGAAGTGGAGAGAACTAAGTTAGAAAGAGGCTTGAGATTATGAGCTATCAGAGGGAAACAACATGATCATTGTGTTTATGCATCTGGTGTCTTTCTCTAAACAAGTCCTCTTTTGTTTTCAGGCAGCGTAAAGTTCATTGACTACGAGTATGCTGGGTACAATTACCAAGCCTTTGACATTGGGAATCACTTCAACGAGTTTGCCGGTAAAAATGCATCTAAATATTAAACTATTCAGGAAAACTATCAAAAATGTTGCTTTTTTCCTTAATATAACATTCACTGTGTTGTCCTCCAGGCCTGAATGAAGTGGACTATAGTCACTACCCAGACCGGGCCTTTCAGCTGCAGTGGCTGCGCTCCTACCTGGAAGCTTATAAGGAGCACAAAGGCTGTGAGGGTGTGGTCACTGACAGAGAGGTGGAGCGTCTCTTTGTTCAAGTAAACAAGTTTGCTTTGGTAAGTACTTCCGTTTTAACTCGGATAATCGTTGCCTCACATATGGAGAGTTTTTATATACGTCCTTTTGTTTTTTTTCTGATTCTCCTGGGGGTGGAGCTTGAGTTTACATCAGAATAACTACAAAACTATAAAAATGAGCTCCTATTCACTCTGTAATCAGTTCTGATCGGTAAGCTGGCACGCCTCGAGAGCTTTGTAGTCATGATCAGACATTTTAACATCTTCCAGTCATCATGTCCCTAAAAACAATTCCACAGAATCCTTTCAGGATAAATGTTTCTGTCACGTTCCCTTCAGGAAAAGGAACCAACGTTAAATCAGTGGGCTATTTTTGATCTGCTTTGTTCTCTCAGCTAAAACATAGTGTTTCAGGCCTCCGAGTCCCTCTGGAGGTTTCTTCCTGTTAAAAGGGAGTTTTCCTCTCCACAGTCGCGACATGCTTGTTTAGTATGAGGATTGCTGTAAAGACTCTTGAGCTAGGGCTGGGCGATATATCAGTATTTCTAAAATATCGATATAATCTTTTAACAAGAAATAAGATGACTTTATATCTTTATATCGATATAACTGGTCAAACTGCTATGCTAGTGATTAGCCGCTATGCTAACGACATGTTGCTCCGTCTCTAAGCGGTTATTACATGTATTCTCACAAGTTTGCTCAATCTGAGAGCCTCTGGATAAATGTGCTGCTCTTAGGGATGGGTACCTAATTCGGTACTTTTTAAGGTACCGACCGAATTCCATAGTACCGACCGAGCACCGATTCACGTCATTTCAAACGGTGCCTCGTTTCGGTACCCGTCCTTCATAAGGAGAACTTGCCAAGACAGCTGCGAATGCGCAAGAGCGTTATGTCGTCGCTCGCTGCGAGCCAGTTGTAAACAGAGCAGCATGGTAGAAAGAACAAACGCTAAAGCTTGGGTCCACTTCACTAAATGTGATGGGTAACTGGGTGATGATGAAACCAGCGACAACGATCTAAGTGAGACATCCTCATCTTAATCTGCTCCGGTAGGTAAATAAAATGTTTAAGATAATGTTAGCTTGATATGTTAGCTTCCGTTTCGCTAATGGTGCGTTCGCTTTCTCCTCGGAACTCCGAATTTCCGACTAGAAGAACATGAACGCGCTCTAAAGTTTGGCTTCACTTTACTAAATGCGACGGGTGATTGGGTGAAGATGAAACCAGCGACAACGATCTAAGTGTGAGGCATCATCGTTTTAATCTGCTCCAGCAGTTAAATAACCTGTTAAAGATAACGTCAGCTTGATATGTTAGCTTCCATTGCCACCGTTGTTATCAGCTAATGGTGCGTTCGCGTTCTCCTCGGAAATTCTAACTTCCCAGTAGGAAAAATCAAATGAACAAAGACGGCAAAAGGAATGAAGATACACAGTAAATTTAGTTCACAATGAAGATGTTTGCTTCAGTTTAATTATCAGCTTATAAAACTACAAGGACGATGTTAAAATACAAACAGTTGTAGGTTATTTATCGTGATATTTATCAAATATTGTTATAGGTTGAGAAAAATATATATTTAATTATAAAATAGAATTAAAATAATAAACACTCAAAAGTATAGAAAATTGGTACCGTTAAATACCGGTATCGATTCGTAGGTACCGGGAATTAGTACCGGATCGATTCAAATGCCAAAGGTACCCATCCCTAGCTGCTCTAAACTTGGCATTTTAGGTCCTGGTTTTTAATTATTTGGGGACGTTTAACACCAACTGAGCTCTGTTTTTCCATCCTGCGTGTGCGGAGCTGGAGAGAGGAGCCAAACCCCACCCTCCCCTGTGTAATCAGGAAACGTCTACGGATAGCCTGAGTGGCCAAATGACCTCAAACGTATAGTAAGGGTTTGAATAGTAAACTATAGGGGTAACGTTTTATTTTGAAGGCAAGCTCAACGGGTGTGAAATGTTGTTCCGGTTCCGTTTTTTTTCTGGTTTTGCTGTGCTAGTATTGCCAGTGAATACTCCGTTCCGAACGATTCTGTTGAAAAAGTGAAGAGTTTGTAAGGTGTGGGTTAGGGTTAATTAATAACCGTCACAGTGCGTGACCCATGTGATCTTCAGTAGATGCAGTTACATCACATAAATTTAGTTTAACACGATAGATTTTTTTTCTCTGGACAAGAAATAAACGATATGGCCCACCTCTAGATGAAATTAAAATGCTATGTCCCTCAGCCCGCTAGGAGAGATGTTGTTGAGGGAGAAATAAAGTTGGTGTGTGGGTTGAATAATAACTGAGTGCTGTGTCGCTGTACCAAGGATTTTAATTACAGAAAGAAAAGCAAAACATGGTGACAGCCAAAATATATACAAAACTAAAGGAAATGCACATAAAAGGGAAACTAAAAGCGCCGGCCCATAAGGGGCCGGGAGGGGGGATTAACTAACCAAAATACAATTACTACTAACCCCAAGCTAATTGAGGGACGTCCCGTTAAGCCGGGACGCTGGGAAAAGTCCACAAAGTCAAACAGCCGTTCTTAGATCGCGGTTACCAGAGAGTCAGAATCTAATCCCAATACCAAATCGAATATCTAAAGCTGAGACTAACAAATACACGCGAGGAGAAGAGAGCAGCAAAAACTCTTCCGAGTCCTCACTACCCTGGACCTTCTCAAGGACTGTGAGCAGGAGAGCAACCTTTAACGGCTGACCCATGATTGCCCATTACACACTGCTGAGCAGGAGACAGGTGAGGCAGAAGCCACTGAGGCCATCATGTGGCCCAAAAGGGGCAGAGCACATAACAATCTTTTTACATTAATTATACATACTGTATATAATTAAAACGTGCCTGTGGGACATTTGATACACATCTAGCTCTCAAGTGTGTGTGTGTGTGTGTGTGTGTGTGTGTGTGTGTGTGTGTGTGTGTGTGTGTGTGTGTGTGTGTGTGTGTGTGTGTGTGTGTGTGTGTGTGTGTGTGTGTGTGTGTGTGTGTGTGTGTGTGTGTGTGTGTGTGTGTGTGTGTGTGTGTGTGTGTGTGTGTGTGTGTGTGTGTGTGTGTGTGTGTGTGTGTGTGTGTGTGTGTGTGTGTGTGTGTGTGTGTGTGTGTGTGTGTGTGTGTGTGTGTGTGTGTGTGTGTGTGTGTGTGTGTGTGTGTGTGTGTGTGTGTGTGTGTGTGTGTGTGTGTGTGTGTGTGTGTGTGTGTGTGTGTGTGTGTGTGTGTGCGCGTGTGTGTGTGCGCGTGTGTGTGTGCGCGTGTGTGTGTGCGCGTGTGTGTGTGTGTGTGCGCGTGCGCGTGCGTGCGTGCGTGCGTGCGCGCGCGCATGTTAGCAGACAGCTGTACCAGCATTTCAAAAGCTCACACTGGTAGAGGATAGGCACTAAGGTTAAAGTCTGACAAGAATAAATACATTTTTATGCATTTAATCTACTGATTTATGTTTATAATTTCTCAAGACAGCTTGAAGTGAGTTAACTTGTAAATATTTTACAGGAGGAAAAATATCGAGATATATATTGTATATCGGAATTCAGCTAAAAGATATCGAGATATAAGTTTTGGTCCATATCACCCAGCCCTACTATGAGCCAACAAGTCAGTGACTCGATGCAATTTTCTGGGTTCCTTATATAGGAAACTTTTTACTGGTTGGCTTAATTAACTGACCTGTATTGGAATGTTTACTGTGTGACGTGCTGTCGTGATTTGGCGCTATAACTGAATCGAACTGAATATGTTTGGTAATATTCTACCAGTTATTCCCATAATTCACAGGGATTATTGACAACTTCACAGCCTTTATTAATTACCTACAGGTGTTCTGGAGATGGATGGTTCAGATGGGTTTCACCTTATATTAAGAAATTTATGGAGGCTTATTTGAGATAAATTTATATCAGCATTTATAAAATGTAAAGTTTTAACATTTTAACAGAAATATAAAAAACTTAAGTATATTAGAGAATTGGGACAGTTTTTTTCTAACCTCTCAAAAAAGTTAAATGAGTTTTCAGATTTTCTGTTTTTCTGTGTGAGTATTTAATGCTTCCTTCTGATTTCAGGAGTCAGATGAAGTTGGGCCCCTGGTATTCTAATAATACCTTGTTTGTGTTTACTTTGACTAAACCTGTAGTCACGGACCTTGAGAGCGATGAGAACTACCAGGAAATAGTTTGCAAAACAAACTTGCCCTTCAGCTTTTATAGGGCTTGATAACGAAACCCAACGTGATATTGAGTTATCAGAAATGGGCTCAAGACTTTAATATTGGATCATTATCAGGGCTTCCTCTGCATTTTTTAATTCATTTAAGGTGCTTTATTATAATCCTCACGCTGGTGAAACGGATTAGCTCGATGGCCTGATTATCAGTCAGGAAAGCTTACCGATCAGTGAGACTCATCTTTTCCTGAAACATCGCTGCTGTTTGTTGTCAAGAGGACAAGACGTTTCTGTGTCAACTATTCCTTGTTGCCATACGGGTTTTGATGAATTGTGTGTGTTGAGAAATACTGACATCCTTCTTACTAACCCTCTTATCTGTGTCTAGGCCTCGCACTTCTTCTGGGGCCTCTGGGCGCTCATTCAGGCCAAGTTCTCCACCATCAATTTTGACTTCTTGGGGTATGTTTGTCATAAAGTGTCAATGTCAAGTTTATTTATATAGCACATTTCCAACAATCAGAGATTGCACAAAGTGCTGTACACAGACGAGCAGTAAAAATAAAATGGTAAAACACTTGAAAAACGTCCAGTAGACCCTACGTAAAATAAATTAACGATGAAATCAGTTAAAGGCAAGGGTTAAAAGGTAGGTTTTTAAGAGACTAAGGCCTAGTCCACACGTAGCCGTTTTTTTTTAAACGAATATCCGCCCCTCCAAAAACTTGCATCCACACCACCTTGTTTTAAAAACAAACTCTGTCCACACGTACCCGGATAAATACGTTGTTAAGGACATGCCAGACCTGTAGGCAGCAGTACTTCCCCCGTTCTTAACCTCGTCCTTCGTCTGTGGTCTTCCGCAACGAGCAGTAATTCTGCTTGCAAAAACAAACAAGCAAAAAGCGCTTGGACAATTGATAAAGCGAGCGCAGCTCTGAGGGCATCCATGCTGTCGGCTAGTGTAAACACAGGTCGCACACGTGATGTCAGCATTTTTTTTTTTTTGTCGTGGAAAGTGACGTTGCGGACCTTAAAACTCCGGTTTTGTCTGTCCACACGCAGACACCCAAAACGGAGAAAACGCAGATCTTCACTTTGGCCGGAGTTTTTAAAAAGATCCGTTTTCGTGTGAAAAAACTCATTTTTTGTGTGGATGACAGGCCAAAACGTAGAAAAATATCTACGTTTCGGCAGATCCCCGGCTACGTGTGGACAGGGCCTTAAAGGCAGAAAGGCTGTTAGCAGACTTAATCTGTAGGGGAAGGCTGTTCCAGAGCTTGGGAGCGGCCACAGAAAAAGCTGTCGCCTCTGGACTTCAGCCTAGACTGGGGAACAGATAAAAGATGTAGAGAGGATGATCGCAAGTTTCTTTTGGGGACATGAGTGTTTTAAGAGTTCCGACAGATAAGGAGGGGCCAAATTGTGTAGCGCCTTAAAACAGAGCAGTAGCATTTTAATTTGAATCCTGTAAGTGATCGGGAGCCAGTGAAGAGCTTGTAAGCCCGGAGTTATGTGATCCCTGCGTCTCCTACCTGTCAGCAAGCGAGCTGCCGCATTCTGAGCCACCTGCAAGCGGTGAATTGACGACTGCTCCAGTCCATGATATCGAGAGTCTCAGTAGTCGAGTCTCGACATGATTAGCAAGTGTATAACCATTTCAAAGTCTTTAATTGGTAAATAGGGCTTGACTTTACTAAGAACATGCAAATGAAAGAACACGCTCTGGACCACAGAACTTATCTGTTTATCAAGCTTAAAATGACCATCAATGGAAAAACCCAGATTTCTTGCCTGAGACACGGAAAAGGATTCTGAAGGGCCAAAAACACTGGTTACCCCGTGCAACAGCCCAGGGTCCCCGAAAATGACTATTTCAGTTTATTTTGTTATTTAAAGTGAGAATTTTCAATTGTAGCCAGTTTTTAACGACTTGTAGACAATTCAGTAATTTATCAAACGATGGCCTTCGAGAATGTAGTGGGACATATATCTGCACATCGTCCGCAAAGAAGTGGTATGAGATGCCATTAGGGCTGCAACAACGAATCGATAAATTCGATGAAAATCGATTACTAAAAGCGTTGGCAACGAATTGCGTCATCGATTCGTTGTGTCGCACAACTCTTTCAAAACCGCCCCCCCCTTCCCGCCCGCCTTTGCGCGCAGACCAGAGCAAGTCAGATCAGCGCGAGGGAGAGCCGCAGATCAGCGCGAGGGAGAGCCGCAGATCAGCGTGAGGGAGAGCCGGTACCGGCAGTCGGCAGATCAGCGCGAGGGAGAGCCGGCAGACTTGCGCTGCTGCGAACCGGTTCCGCGTTCTTGTGCAGCGATCCAGGCAGCTGCTTCCAGCGCACGGTCCATTCTCAAAGTGGCGCAACCAAAAAACTATAATTGGCACACGATCGTTCATGTCCGCACATGTTCTCTATTTTCTGTCTTGTTTGTGCCTGAAGCTCGCTACTGCGGAGCTCATCACCTGTGCTGTGGTGATGTCACCTCACGCAGCATCGAAAACGCGCTCTGCGCTTTTCGGTCAGGTGATCCCTTTGATCTGCTCAAAAGTAACTGATGAGGTGAAAAGGTAAGAATCCAGGCAACAGATTTTCTGGAGAATTAAGAGGAGATGCAGGAAGATGAGAGACAGACAGGACAGGAAAATAGTTAAATAAAAACAAGGAAACAAAACAAAGTGTTGAAAAGTAAAATGTAGGTAGATTTATCTCCACTACACGTTTTTACCAGTAAAAAACAATAAGTTATACACATATAATATTTATACTTCTGATACAATTCAGATCACCTTCAAAACTCAGTCACACACCCAGGGCCGTTTCAAGACATTTTGGGGGCCAAGGCAAAATGCCCCCCCCCCCCCCCCCCCCCCCCCCCCATAACTGGGCTCCCCAGAAGCCTCTGTGTAATTCATGCCCTCTCCAGTAGTGTTAGTTATATGGTGTTTATAAAAGCCCCTCAGACATTACTGACATGTTCTAATATTATCAGATGAAAAACTAAATTATCAGACATGCTGTCTCATCTGCTGCTTTTCTAAACTTGCAAAAAGTAACAAAACTATTTGAAAGCCACTATTTGTGGATTCTCTGAAAGTTTCCATGGAGTGTGTGACAACTTATTTTTTCATTGATCCTATCGTCTAATCTCACAGCTGAAACAAGCATCCTTAATAATCTGTGCACAGGAAGCTTACCGATGGTGTAGTAAAACAAAAGGTATAATAATTTATTATTAATAAAACCTTGTTGCAGCACTAATGCAGAAAAATTAGATTTTGCATTAAATATGCAAAATATTTACATATGAATTGTTTTAGAGCCCTTTTATTGGCAGAATCTGATATTAATTTAGTTCTTACAAAAAATGGGTCGCAACATGGTTTGTGTGGCGTTGCCATAGTGTGATGTCATAGGCACAGATCCCCTGTCCTCTTGTTTGGAAATGGAAATATGGTCACCCTACATTAAACAAACTGTCCACCCGGGCTTTTGCGCTGCACAGAGACGCTTCGCTGCCTACGACTGAACGTCAGTTGAGAGTCAGTCTCATGCAGACTGACCAATGAAGAGAGGGCCTCAAGTTAAGACCCTCTCCTCATTGGTCAGTCCACACGAGGTGGGTCAAAGGTTACTCTGGGCGGGTTACGTGTTGTCAGGCATTCAAGTATTGAGTATATTTACTGCATATTACAGTAAAATATTCTGTATGTGACCACATTATGGTGATCCTTGGGTCGTGATGATGGAGCCCTTGAATATTGTTGCCCAGGGTACAACAAAGTGTTAATCTGGCCCTGGTTCCGCCGTCACATTCCCGCAGAAACTGGTTGATCACACCGGGGCCAGACTACTAGCATGTGGTTTTACAACCACAATGTCCTCAGAAGCAAAAACGCTTTTAAAAGGGAGGGAGGAGTCCTAACTGTTGCTGCAGGCGTGTTGTGTGAGAGTGCAGTTATATACTGGTTAATATATTTTTGGGTTCAGTTGCTTTCATGTGGCCTAATGTGAGTCTATTTGGGATCATTGGAATGATCAGCAGCATTTCTTGATGTGACTTTATGGCAGTTGCCCAGGGCATCATCGCAAGGAGGATGGCATTCATTTACTTTTGTTTTATTTGGTATTTTTTCAGTCATTTTTGGAAATAGTGATCAATTTTGATTAATTCACAGCCTATGTTTAATTACATTTAAAATAAATGTCAACAGATGAGATCAAACAAAACAGATGAGAATTGCCCTTAAGCTGTTTAACTTGGACCAAGCATTTTAGGTCACAGATAGATGTAGCTTAGGGTCTCTGTCTATACACCTTATAAGACAATTTAGGTGATGGCATGTTGTTTTTCTGCTATTGAACCGTTTTCTAATAATGTTGTGTTAAATAAAGCGAAGGAAGGAGAGAAATAACGTTTCCCTAGCAGTTTTTAAAAATTTCCCCATGTAATCCGATTAATCGATTAATCGTGTCGAGGCCCCATCCGATTCATCGATTATCCAAATAATCGTTTGTTGCAGCCCTAGATGCCATGCTTATGAAAGATGGCGCCAAGGGGCAACATATACATTTTACTTTTCTGTGACAGAGCTGTATTAAAGAGGCCTTTTGCCTTTCAGTTCATGATATAATTTAGCAGCCTGGTTTATTTTTGGTGTGTTTAAACTGCTAACAGTGTCTCTCTTTTGTGTATTTCTACTTAAAGATATGCAGTTCTGCGCTTCAACCAGTACTTCAAGATGAAACCAGAAGTTTCTGCGCTGAGTCTACCAGAATAAAAGTCACCAACGACTTTCCTTGTCCTCCTGCAGTCTCCTACCAAGCCTTCTGCCCCTCCTAAGACAGCTATAGGGAGCCCCCTAGAGGTGGAGAACGGCCAGACTTGAAATTCCTGTTTGGTTTCCAATGTCCCATTACTACTACTACTTACTACTACTACTACTACTACTACAACTACAACTGAATGGACCACAATGTTACATACATCTGTATATACTTCACCTGGCCTCATCGCTAATGGTTTTGTATCATTTCCAGTTTAGATGATATCAGTAGATCAGAATACTGTACCTGTAAACGGCTCTCAATACCTCAGTGTGTGAACTGTGACGTGAATGGAACTCCTTCACAGCAGATGAAGCTCAGAGCCATCTCTGCTAAGTGGCACAATTGTGACCACTAGTGATGCCCTTGGCTCTAGGGACATGGCTCCGTTGAGCTAAAAGCTATCAGATCATCTTGACTTTGATTACACCCGTGCTGTGGCGGGTGCTGCACCAGCGTAGCCATAAAGCTGCTGTAGTAGTTGACTACCTAGGGTTGATGAAAGGTTTATTTGTAGGAGAGCGTCTCGTGTTTACTTATTACCTCCTTATTGAGTAAAGACTTGTTTCACTGGATAGCCATTTACCTGGAGGACTGGGTTCACTCTAATGTAAATTTTATATCTACTTTGGACACTTGGGTTATTTTTTATTATTATTATTATTATTAATGAAGTGCACCTCACTGTAAGCAGAACATTCCCCGTTCAGAAAGTCGTGCAGAACCCCCGTCTGCACTGGCACCGTAGGTCAGTAACTGTAGGGTGTTTTCCTTCACTGTGAGACTATTGCAGTGGTTTTTTTAGACCAGACCAAATCCTTACACAGACTTCTCCCTTTCAGGGAACGTTTGGGAACATTTACCACTCCTTAATCACAAATTCATTGTCAGGATGTCTGAGCTAATGCTGGTCTGGTGTTGGGTGCAGAATAGTCAAACTATTCTCGTGAGCGGGGGAAGAACAATCGAAGTGACGATCTGAAAGTGTTAACGTGACTTATATGTTGTTGTTTTTGTTTAATCAACTGCATATTTTTAAAACCTTAAGCTCTTGGTTTTCTAACAAGCCTACACCAAAGTGCTGCAGTCTTGCTTTTACATCATGCACTCCATTAGAATTAGAGATGAGCAACAACGGTTTTTGTACTTTTGTAGGTTAAAATGTCATTGAGGGTGTGAACGTGTTTATTGGTCCAAAAACAAGACAAAAAAATCAAATAAAACATAGGATGTAGCAAAGCCAACATGTTTACTCCTGAAGCAGCAAAAGCTTTGGGAGGTTCTTGTTGATATTCCTGCAGATCACCAGTGAAGGAGCGGCTCTGTAAGGGCCGGCTCGTTCCTGTGAAAGCACATTTTGCACTTCTGTAGGGGAGTTAGACGCTTAAAGCCTTTAACTGTTTTTATTTATTTTTTTTGATATTGGTGAGATAGAAGAGGCGGTTTGGGACAAATCTGATGTAAATTAGAAATGATGGCATGTAACTTATGTTCAAAGTAGACGGAGAGATGAATGGATGAACACACTTGTGTTGGACGGGCGTTCTGAAGGGATCTGTGAAAGTTTATAGGTTCTCAATCATGTTTACACTCAACGTTCATGTTTTTATTCTTAAATTTATCTAGATGATTATAAAGATTTGTTCTAGAATATGAAGGTGAAAGATTTCTTTTACATCCATCTGGCACAGGTAGATAAAGTAAATAGGATCAAAGTGATTTTAGTTCTGATAACATAAATCATAGCTAGGTTTAAATTTGTTTTAAGCTTTAATATCCTTGCATCACTCTGATCACTGTAACATGTGTATATGCACAACAAGCTAATGTAAAGTAACCAGCTTGTTCTATTGTGAATGAATGTAAATAATGGGAGTTCTGTTTGTTCTTTTTTAAAAGTTGCATTAATGTGAATGCCTGGTTTAAGAGGTTACATTAGAAAATGTAAATATGCTTTTATTAATAAAGTTTATTTACCTGTAAGAACCCTCGTCTTTGTCTCTTTGATAGATTGAAGTTTTCTTTTTGGTGGTAAAGCTTCTTTAACATTATTCTTTCAGATCATATCAAATTGAAGATGACACAATAAAGTCACTTATTTTGAAGAGGAAATTTGCTTTCACGTGGTTTTTTTCAATTAAAAACTGAATATAAAAACACTTTTAGAAAGACAATCACTACACTAAATGTGATTAAGTCCTCACATAGGAAAACAATCGTCTAAATTTACAGATAGGATATTAAAAGCCAAAAGTTGAATTTATTTAACAAGTTTTTTTTAGTTATCCCAATTTGTGAGCCACACAAGGACATTTGCAATTCTCATTTTATTTGAATGATTTAAGACGTTTTATTTCGAATTCTTACTTGTATCAACTGAACAATTTAAACCCAGCCTGATCCAGAAAGCAGGTTTTTAGTAGTTATCAATAAAGACCCTCGTTTTAATTGCTCCACTGTTCAGTAAATGAACACAATCTGTAGTTTATTTTCTTTACTTTTTCCTTTTCTCCATTCATTTTCCTAGCCTCGTTAGCTATTCCACAACAGTACAAGAAACAAGACTTTACAGCATTTTTTATTTTGCATTATTATAATTTTTTTTTTTACATGTGAGTGGATCTGAAAAAGATTAGAATCGTATAAGAAATGACCACTAGGTGGTGACACAACACAAAGAAAAGTACTCAAGAGCAAACCTGGCACACAGCGCTAAAAAAAAAAATCCCATTCAACATTTGATCTTTGTGGTATTAATGCGTATTAACATAGATTTATATTTAAAAACGAAACCAGATCATTAATATGCATCATGTTGAACCTCTTTGATGGAAGCAAATAGGAAAATAGAGAATTTTCTGAAGAACACACACAAATCAGCTTAGCTTTGTTACACTGAGCTCTTGTTTTTCTTTTAAAAGACTTCCAACCAAATGTGGATGTAAGAAGAATAAATCTAAATAAAAACCGAAAGGTGTGTCCTGGTTTGTTTTCGATGGTTAAATTATAAACCCATTTATGCTCTACACCCCAAAACCAAACAATCATTTTGCACCATTCTCTTGAAACAAATCAAGGCCGCTTTGCATCTCCCTAATGTGAGCACCGTCTTATACAGTTGAACAATTACAACAGTGTATTACCCAACTCGGTGACTGTAATTCAATTATCCTGCTCCCTCTGGCTTCACCCACCCAGATAATACACACATTAATTAACAACAGAATCCAATATCGCTTGTTCTGCGCCTCCAGTCATTTTCATTTCCCATAAAAAAAGGTCGTAGCAGTCACTTCCTACTGAAGACAATTAGTGTACATGTGTAATAATGCATTACAATTGTATATCACCATGGCCGGGTGTTTGTGATGGGGAGCAGCACAGCGATCCCACTGGTGATTGGAAATGTTGACACGCCAGCTGTAAACATCCATCAGACCATGCCATTTCACCAGACTCTTGACGAAAAATACCTGAAATGTAGCTTACATGTTTCAGACTGCTAGAAATCTAAAACGCAAGAATAAACAATTGTGAATACGAGGTGAACCAGAGAACCAAGAGAATAATACGTTTGGTGTTTGAATTGTTCTCACGGTCTTAAACCAGTTCTTAGCGGTGGTGGACTGGGTGAAGTTCAGTGGAGGAGAGGCGGAAGGTCCGATGGTTGTAGAGGAGGTGGACAGGAGAAGGTTGTGTGAGTCCAGGGTGTAGGTTGGCAGGCAGAGCGATGGAGAGTGGAGGCCAGAGGATCCTGAGCAACAGGACGAGGAAAACAACTCCAGGCGTGGTTAGAGGATGCGAGGCGTGATTCTAGAAACAAGAGCATACAGGATCTCACTGAGCAAGTTTGTTGGAAGATCAGGTAATGTACTGGGCTAGAAGCTACCCTGGTGAGAGTATCAACCGGCGCTGGAGTTGTGTCACACCGCTCCTTAAATACCCTGGCCCTCTGATTAGTGGAATCAGGATCAGCTGGAGCTCGTGCCACACCCACCTGCAACACAAACAGCTGACTGCCAGGTTACCTCACCTGCTGATGGAGGTAGACCGTGACAGTATCCCCCCCTCAAGGGACGCCACCTGGCAGCCCAGCCGAGGAGGAGGAGGCGAAGGACGAGACAGAACGGGAGGCCTCGAAGTCCCGGATGAGAGAGGGATCCACTGCCAGTGCTCAGGACCATACCCCTCCCAGTCCACCAGAAACTGGTGACCACGTCCGCATGGCTGGACGTCCAGGATGCGGTGAACCTTGTAGCTGAGCCCACCATCAGCGAGGCGGACCGGCGGAGGAGGATCAGCAGGGGGGCACAGGGGACTGGAAACTACAGGTTTGAGCAGGGAGACATGAAATACTGGGTGTACCTTCATAGATGGAGGCAAGGACAGACGGACTGAGATGGGACAGAGGACCTCGGCTATGGGGAACGGGCAGAAGTAGCGGGGAGAAAACTTCCTGTTGGTGCCCCAGACCTTGATATCCCGGGAGGAGAGCCAAACCATCTGCCCCGGGGTGTAAACAGGTGCTGGGCGTCTGTGACGATCTACAAGCCTGCGATTGCGATCAGCTGTGCGTTAAAGGGCAGCCAGGGTCTGGTTCCATGTGCGTCGAGCCCGGTGGAGAAACTGGGGAGCTGTGGTGGAGGCAACGGAGTCAGAGGGAAACAGAGGGGGTTGATATCCAAGGGAGACCTCAAATGGAGGCTGACATCTGGAGGCAGAGGTGTGGGAGTTATGGGCATACTCCACCCATGACATTTGTGAACTCCACCCGGCAGGGTTCGAGGCACAGATACAGCGCAGCATGGCCTCCAGCTCCTGGTTCATACGCTTCACCTGGTCGTTAGTCTGTGGGTGAAAACCAGAGGTGAGGGAGACCCAAGCCCCCAGGTGGTTAGCAAACTCAGTCCAGACCCAGGATATGAACTGGGGACCTCAGTCTGACAGGATTTTGGATGGCAGACCATGAAGGCGGAAAACATGTTTCACGAGCAGTTCAGCAGTTTCAGCAGACGAAGGGAGTGACTTCAGTGGGACCAGATGGCAGGCTTTAGAAAAGCGGGCGACAATGGTGAGTATGACAGTGAACCCTCTGAATGTGGGGAGACCAGTTACAAAATTCAGGGCGATGTGTGACCACGGACGAGGAGGGACCGGCAGAGGCTGGAGGAGACCCTGGGGAGACTGGTTACTGCTCTTGTACCTGGCTCATACCTGGTAGGCGCTGATGTACTCCTTTACGTCCCTATACATGGATGGCCACCAAAAGGTCCTTCTGATGAGGGTTATGGTTCTGCCAAGGCCAGGATGAATGGAAAACCTCGTCGTATGTGCCCAATGTATAAGAGCCCCTCGAGTGCTGGAAGGAACATAAATTTTGTGTGGTGGACCGGTACCTGGATCTGGTTCGTGTTGTTGAGCCTCCAGAACCTTGTTCATTATGTCTCAGAAGATGGAGCCAACTACGCAGGAGGCAGGCAGTATGGTGGTGGTTTCCACCTCTCTATCCGAGGCGTATTGGCGAGAGAGAGAGTCAGGTTTAATGTTCTTGGAGATGGGTCTGAAAGAAATGACAAAGTTGAAACGGGAAAAGAATAACGACCAGCGAGATTGACGGGGGTTCAGTCTCTTAGCCTCCTTGAGGTAAGCCAGGTTCTTATGGTCGGTCCATATGATTATGGGGTGTTCTGCTCCTTCTAACCAGTGGCGCCACTCCTCCAATGCTAGTTTTATAGCCAATAACTCTCAGTCACCCATGTCATAGTTTTGTTCAGCAGGAGTGAGACGACGGGAGAAGAAGGCGCAGGGATGGAGGCAGTGATTCGTTGGGGAGACTTGAGAGAGGACAGCTCCTACCCCAGTGTCTGAGGCGTCGACTTCCAGGGTGAATTGGGATGAAGTGTTGGGGCGAGTGAGTATGGGTGCTTGGGTGAAACAGTTCTTAAGAGAGTGAAAAGCCTGGTCTGCTTCCTAGGACCATGAAAAGGGTTTCTTGATGGAGGTTAGCTATGTGAGAGGTGCGGCGATCTGGCTGTAGTTCCTAATAAAACGGGGGTAAAAGTTAGCAAAGCCTAGAAATCATTGTAGTTGATTACGTGTTGAGGGGGTTGGCCATGTCTGAACGGCATCTACTTTGTCAGGGTCCGTCCTTAGCCGACCACTCTCTAGAACAAACCCTAAAAACTTGACAGAGGAGGCGTGGAACTCACACTTTTCTGCCTTAATGTACAATCGTTTCTCGAGGAGGCGTTGGAGGACTGCTCGGACCTGTTGTCAGTGTTCTGGAAGGGTTCTGGAAAAGATAAGTATATCGTCCAGGTAAACTGTAACAAATTTGTTGATATAGTCACCTAGTACGGAGTTGACCAGAGACTGAAAAACTGCAGGGGCGTTGGTGAGTCCAAAAGGCATGACTAGATATTCGAAGTGGCCAGGTGGTGTCCTGAAGGCCTTTTTCCACTCGTCCCCTTCACGGATCCTTACCAGGTGGTATGCGTTTCGCAGATCTAGTTTGGTGAAAATAGTTGCATCATTTACCGGTTCAAAAGTAGAGGACAACAAGGGCAGAGGATATTTGTTTTTTATGGTGATCTTGTTGAGGCCTCTGTTGTTAGGTATTTTCATTTTCCCATCCAGGGTTACCTGAAGGGAAAGCTCACCACGCAGGGGTTTTATTATTATGCTGATCAATTTAACCCATACTAATCTTATTAACAATAAAGCATTTAGACCTTTAATGTGGAGAGAGAGAGAGATAAAATGATACACACGAGTCGATGGTCTCTTTGCTCTCTCGTCGGACCAAAGCCCTCTCAAGAGTATTTATTAAAAGACACACAGAAATGACAAAACGCACACACATTTAGGGAGACAAGCATGCGCTGGCACAGGGCGTTCTTACTGATAAGCTAGGACTGGGAAGAGGCAAGGTCAAGCGCCTGTCTGTTGCCAGGGAAGAATAAGCTGCATGAGTTTCATTTAAAATA